CATCTGCCCCCACCGGGATTCGAACCCGGGACCTCTCGAGTCGGCGACACCATGAAACCCGGCGTACAAACCACTCGGCCACGGAGGTCGTCAAAATATTTATTTGTTAACTAATTGAATATAAAAAGTTAAGTATTTATCTTTATCACATCTATTCGAAAAGATGTCGCCGTCTCGCCCCCACTTCACTTCCACCCAATAGATAATAGCCAATCAAAAGACGCGACATCATACAATCGAACCAATCCGCGCTCACACCCCAGAGCAACGACGCAATCAGGACCAAATTTTGGTCAACTTATGAGCATTTGCTCACACATTACTGTGGCTAGACTGCCCCGCCCACAAGGCCCTTCTAATCTCATTCTGTGTCCTGTAGTTATTACCGATGCAAATGAAAAAACGCAAGGCTTTTAAAAGCCTTCAACAGTTAGAAATAACAAAATGATATCGAAAGCGTTAGCTGTAGCAATCTTTCGTCAATCTGCCTACAGCCATATAGCCATAGCAACCCAGTTAGGCGGTAGGCCCCCTTGTCGTGGTCGTCTAGTGGGCGAGATGCAAAAATGTGACATTTCACGGGGAAAAGTTACTTTATGGTCGGTATTAAGTTACGCATGTCCCTGTTATCTGCGACTAATAAGCTATTCAAATCAAAAATAATTATCCTGCTACTCAAATCAAAAAGAATTCATCATCAGCCTATTAATGTCCCCGCTGCTGGGGCACAGGCCTTCCCTATGGATGGTTAAGGGAGATTAGGCCATGAAACACCACGCGGGCCTAGTGCGGGTTGGTGGGTGCTAACGACTGCAGATGCAGCCGGGACCAACGGCTTAACGTGCCTTCCGAAGCACGAAGGAGCTCGAGATAGTAAATTTTTGGTCACCCATCCAATGACCGACCACTGCGAAAGTTGCTCAACTTCAACGACCGCAGCCGAACGCGCTAACCACTGGCGCCATCGAGCTCCTCAAAAAGAATTACCTGCCTGCTATTCAAATTAAAAAGAATTATCCTGCTATTCAAATTAAAAAGAATTATCCTGCTATTCAAATTAAAAAGAATTATCCTGCTATTCAAATCAAAAAGAATTATCCTCGTGAGCTCTGTAGTTACGGAAATAGAATTTCATGAAAATATTAAACGGAATTGTGCTCTTCCAGAAAAATGCTATTTTTAGTTGAAGTACGCGAAAAAGTGTGTAAGGGGCCGTCCATATATTACGTCATTCTAAATTAGGGGGGGGGGGGGTGGTCTGCGGATGACGGTAAATGATAGATAGGGGGGGGGGGGTGTTTCGAAATTGACGTCATTCTTATTAATTTATTTATAGTTTATTGTTCACGTACAAAAAGATTATTTCTAAAAAGAAATTTCTTCCAGCACACCTAGTAAGTGAGACTGCAAATGTGAGAGGCGGCTAAGGCACGTACAATACTAAAATAACCCATAATAAACGTACATATTGCAACATAGATGTACACAAATACAGTAATAACTACAGATAAAATACTCTAACAATAATATTACATATAATACTAGCTTTTCTCAAATCTGCAATGTTTTAATTTTGTCAAACTGGTAATGACGTCAATTTTGGGAGAAGGGGGGGGGGGCATTAAGAAATGACGATAGGATGATTGTAGGGGGGCGGGGGGGGTCTAAAATCTGAAAAAATCGATGATGTAATTTATGGACGGCCCCTAATCGTTGGAAGTTACATAATAAGCACCAAGTAATTATTGTTCAGGCTTTTTGAGTTTATAAAAATAAAGCTAAAAAATTATTTACTTAATCGGAAACTTAATAATTTGGTTATTTATTATGCCCATTGAAGGATGTTGGAAATGGTTATTTTCAAATTTTAATGATATTTTTTCATTGAAGCCTCCATTTTTTACATCCGTTAGAAAGCGTAGTAAAAAAATTGGGTGTGAAAATAAAACAAAAATAAGAATTAAAAATCCAGTTTTGCGCCAAAAAATAAAAACATGAGATTAAAGCATACAACGTGTATTTTTATTATTATTAAAATACTCTATAAAATAATATTAATATATGCTTATTAGCATTAAAAATAAAACGAGTTTTTGCATCATTTTTACAAAACATTCAATAACTTCCATAAGGGAGGATTTTAATTTCACAGATATTTTTCTCGTGGTACGTCACAAATAGTAGAGATGCCGCTGCTACACGTACGCTCGACGTAGCACGTAGCCAATCGTAGTTCAATTATTGCATAATGTAGAAGAAGCTTCGGAGATTGCTCAGCTTCCATACATGTTTGGCCTAAAGACCAATAATCATGAAAAAGTGTTTCCTAGATTCGAAATTATATATAAATTACTGTAGAAACGATAATAAGGTACTCTGTGACAGAAACTGTGTGATGATTGTGAATGAGCCACAGATTAGAGAGAATTTTTAAATTCTGTTAATTTCTCGTTAACCAAAGAAAGCTAACAGATTTAGGTTCTATAGCCATATATTCAATAGCTTCATTATTTTTGTTATGTTTTTAAGATAACCATATTTTAGATTTTTAGTGTATCACACCTTATAATTTTATTTATTTATTAATTTATAGTCAGAGAACGTAGGCCCATAGATAGATACCTTAAAGTCTAACATATATACAGATTATAATGTGTTTATGGAGGTGTAAGGCGAAAAATGTATGGCAATAGACTTTATGATATCGCCTACCATCTATAATAATTGTCTGAGTACATTTGCATGTAGTGAAAATGATAATATAGTTGTGGATATTAATACCACAGTGTAATAAAAAGAAGATTAATTTTATCGATCTTTACAAAATAGATTTGTTTTTATGTTATATAAACAACTTCGATCAGTCTTTGGCTGAATGTCTACACCCATTGCCATTAAAAATGATTTGTATGTTTTCCAAACCGGTAAAATTAAAAGTCCTTTTTAAAGTAAATATATTATACAAAGGTGTCCGTTGAAATCTAATGACTGTAAATTAAATTGTAAATTACGCCAAGAATTACCGTGTATGTCAATATTTTTTGTGCATTTGGGCCAATTTGAGCAATCTCCTTTAAAATTAAAAATGTTTTTCGTTCGCTCCAGTGGGCCCCCATTTTCGCTGAAAGTGCGAATCGCCCGAGATACCCCGAGGTTTAGGGCCACGAGGACGTAGGAGAACTCAAAAGACGCGGAATTTGAAGGGCTTTAAGATGATGTAAAAATATTTTGGAAAAGTAGGTTTTGACAAGATTTTTTTTTAGTTTCAAAAAAAATTTTTTTTGAATAATCTATAATACGTAAATTAATATTTAATGCCCTTTCAAGTCGTGTAGAGCACGAGATCTGCGATATATTATAAAAAAAAAAATGGGTGCGTGTACTTATGTAGGCGCGTGAGAAGTTATCCTTCTTTGGCATCGTTTAAAATTAGTTTGTAATTGCATGCAAATAATTAATTACAATAAATTAATAAAAAGTCTGGAAAAGGAAAAATAAAGTTTAGTTTCAATTTGAAAAAATAAATAAATAATCAAAATATTCAATTAAAATCGCTACTGAATAAAATTTTGTGTTACAGTGATGCGCGCGCATCTTAAAATTTCACTCTCATCATTTTTTCATAACGCGCCTAAAGAAGTATAACTTCAAAAATGAAATAAACCAAAAACCTAATCTATCAAATGAAAAAGTTCTGGGACTTTGTGGTTGTCGTTTCAAGAATAACTTTGTTCCACCCAACTCTCCACTTTGTCTAATGTACGGAGCAAATTAATATTTCGAGTCGGTGCTATGCCACCCCAATTCGCAGTGCACGCGTCAGTGGAGCCTCACTTAATAATTTAGAAAATAAAAACATATATCTAAAGAAAATATAACTAGAAAAAATTCCACGCGGACCAGGCAGCAGACGGGACTCGAACCCGCACCCTTCGCAATCCGGGCGAATGCACTGACCAATTATGCTACCGCGGCCCTCACGGACCGCGTCGAAATTCCTCTAGCCATTCTTCAGCTGCAAGGCAGCGCCGTCTCTTAGCATTATAGGTAGGTAACCCACAATGTCAAATGAATACTTTTACAAGGATTAAATATTTGAAAGAAGAAATAGCAATTATAGTATTAAGAAGTTACCTACATGCTTATAAAAAATAAAAATTATAACTAAATACATATAATATATCCATGCCTCTATTGTATAAGATTCAACTACTATATCAGAAATGAAACAATGATTCTCAAGATAATTAAAGATTTTATTCCGACACGTAACGTTCGCTAACACGAGTATCTATCAATGTCAATGTTGCCAGTACAAGAAATAACTTGGTACTAATATATTTGTTTCTTAGGTTTTCACGCACATCACCCATTAAATAAAACTAGTTTTTTACAGGTTAATGCACGAAAATTTATTTATTTATTGACGTTTCGTAGCCTTTACAGGCTACGTCGTCGGAATCAAATTTCTATTTAATTTTGTCGAGCTACCTTCGAAAGACTTTTATTGAGCGTTCGGTTATTTCATTGTTCGATTTTTAAAGTTTTATTGTCTATGTATGAATTTATTACTTATTTTAGTTAGTAAAGTATTTAATTTAAAATTCTTTTTTGTAATTTTGAGTTTATTTATTTGACCCTAACTACCGTAAACTACCACCGGTTCCAAAATTGGGAGACCTTTCTGAGAAGAACCGGCGAAACAAACTCAAGAGAGGCTTTCTATCTCCTTCTTATGTTAAATTATGCAAACAAAAAGAACTAATAGTATCTGTTCGTCTTGCAGTGTGTGCTCGGGGTTGGTACTAATAACTGATATTGTAACTGGTATAATCGATATTATTGACAGATACTCGTTATTATTCGATAGGTGTTAATTAATAAGAGAATCTTACAATTGCCACGGGCATATGTGACATTGGTGTTTTGTGTAAAATTTCATGGTGACGACGATGATTGGTTTCGCCTGCAGGTAGGCGGTATGCCGTGGTCTACGTGAGATGGATGGCATTCAGATGGAGCCCATAGGCAAATACAAGGCTGACAGGAACGGTTCCGCTAAAGGTAAGTGCTCTTTCATTTATTTATCATTCCCTTGTGAGCTAACAAAAATTCCAAAATGCAACACAAGTGACAAAATTAAAAAATAATTTTAAAAAAAAGAACACACCAATTTAGCCTAGCCCCAAAGAAACCACTGTAAGGCTTGTGTTGTGGGATACCAGGGTAACGAATAGAATACATATACAGTACATATATAAGTAAATTTATATAGAAATACATATCATCGAATCGGCGACACGTTGAAACGCGGCGTATAAAATACTCGGCCACGGAGGTCGTCAAAAATACATGCCTAATTCACAATAATAATGATAAAACAACATAATAAAATAATATAAATAAGACAACATGAAAATTTAACTTTAGACCAATTTCTATATTACCAACATTAAGTCTATTAACGAAAACAACAATTTACATTTTAGATATTAAACTAAAAGTACACTAAAACTAGACAAAAAAATAAAAATTGTGTGTGTCAGCTCCGACGCACGACTGGAGTTTACTTCTTAAACAAGTTCGATAGTCTAACCAGACGCAAAAAGAGTTTATTTAACTTAAAAAAGATTGATACTGTATGAAAGGGTGAACTAATAAATTAATGAAAATAATATACATAATTATATAAATATATATTTATTTATTTCATATACATTTATTATAACTAATCGACGAAATATTTTACATTAAACTTTTTACAATAGTCAATTTCAGATGTGCATAAATAAAGGTACGCTACGATACTGTGCTACGGTGTAGCAGTACGGCTGCTACAGCGTAGACAGTAAAAACGTAACGAGGTCATTCATCGATAGATTTCACTTCTCACATTTTTCTCATACCGGGCCCCTTATATATGCAAATCGATTCTTAAGGAGTAAACTCCAAAATTAAAAATATTAAAAAAATAGCTGCCCTAAGTCTTCCCCGTCGGCAAAGCTTCCCAGGACGCTGGCGGCATTTCCCCGCTGAATGGCGAGGCTTATGCGCTGGGCGAAATAGCCGCCAGCTCTGCGGTCTCCAGTGGTCATGAAAATTTAATACAAAAAAAGAAATAAGCATGTCACGATAAATTACAAGTCAAAATTATTAATACTTAGTGTCGCCGCACACGGGCCACACGCCACAGCCACAAACGCCGCCACGACAAGCTAGAAGCGGCTGCTAAAGTGGCTGAAGCGCGCGACAGCGGCCGACTAAGGTAAGGGAGAGGGGGGGGGGGGGGAATCGCGCGAGTGACGTGTGGCGGCGTTTTGTATCGGCGCATTAAGTGGCCGGTGCGGGCCACAAGAAGCGAGCAACGACGATTTGTAGAGTGTGGCGGCCACGGCGTACCGTGTGTGGCGAGTCCATATAAAATGTATGAAAACTACAAGAAATATGTCAGTGGCGGCTTTTTGTGGTTGTGGTCGGTGGCCCGTGTGCGGCGACACTAAGTTACAAAAAAAGAATGTATCAAAACTCATCTCCTTAAAAAGGGTTACTATACGGTTAAAGTTTTCTTAAATGACAAGGCACCTCGGGCTAAATATAATAGACTAAGATGTAGTTTTAATTTGCTAATTTGATGAAAATTGTTTAATCAACACTTCTAAATTTTAAGATAGTACCAAGCTATATTTAACTTGTTGTTGATAAATAATATTAATGTGATGAAAGTTGACATCAAGTCATATTTTTCAATTTTTGCAGTCAAGTTCAATTGACGACACTGTATGAAACAAAACAGGGAGAAAAAAATAGCCCTTCCTGAGTTTCTTGCCGGTTCTTCCCAGGGCAAAGTTTCCTGCCGTAGATTTACGAACCGATGGCGTAGCGTTTGACTTTCACAGGAGCTTATAACAGCCTAGACTGAATATATGAGTTTGGATTTGAATTATTGACGTGATAACGTTTTACAAAGCAATGAACACCAGCTTCACGCACGAAATAGTGTCACGTTCCGCCTGAGCCCGAGCGTGCAAGCGTGAGCGCGGAACAAGCGATAGAGAGGCACGATCGGCCCAAGCGTGCTAAGTACCAGGCTCGCATAACACCTGGAGGCCTACTCTATTTCAACGAAAAACGAAATTTCGCACGTTCCTTACTGTGTTTCTATTTCATTTCCAAAATTTTTTGTCCGAAAATAGTTTGACATTTAAATTCTCTAATTCACAAAACTTTTGAACTAAAGGTTGAATTTGACAGATAATTGTTCGAAATTTTAACCTCAAATTGACGAAATGAAAAGTGTTAACTTTTCATTTTCATATTGGGATTTTTGTTTTTCAAAAAATAAACCTAAAATTACTACTACAGTATTTTGAATTAAGGCTGCTTAGCGTGAGGAATGATTTTTTAGTATGAAAAATTAAAAATTTAATCAAATTTTTGTTTATTATTGTATTGCCAATACTTCAAAGTGTTACACGACAAATTTAGGTTGACATACATTCGATTGCATCAACTCTACAAATTAGTCGGCTAACACTGTCAAAAGAGGTTGTTTTAATGTAATCAAAAATGTTGTCATAAAGTAATATTGTTTTGAAGGAAAAAACGTTATCTAAAAAGTGTAGACAAAAAGAACTCACAAACATAACTCATTCCATTCGTTCACGATAATTGTCTGTGATTCCGAACTTTATGTGCGCGTGTTCGAAGATGTAATAGAGTAGAGTCACTGGCGAAATTTCGTTTAAAATTCGTTTGTTGCCGAAATTTCGTTTCGGAGAAAGAGAGTACAGCTCCTGGACGGTTACCCTTAATGCTATATTATTCTCACCCGGCTATAGCACGGTAATAATATCATACAGTATTCTATCTTCATACAAACGGTCGGAAAGCGAGTCATACCTACGCCACTCGAGTTCGATGTGCTCTCGGCGTGCACCTAGTCGCGAATGTGCCGCCGCGCCGCGCCGCAACGACGACCGAACGGTCTGAATTGTTTTTTATGCAGTTAGCCGTGCTTAAACATGCGTTTTGTATTGTAAATATTTGATTTAATTAAGTAGATGTCTACATAATTTAGTATGGAAAAGAACAAACGACGATCAATATCGTACAACAGCACAATTGCTGTTTTTGGTTGCTTGAACTCTTCAATAACACACCCAGAGATATCATTTTTTAAATTACCTGAAATATTGGAAAGGTGTCTTACCTTTATAGAATATTTTTTATATACCTATCTACTAATACGTTATTTGTTTCTAATATTTAGGTATTTCGGTTTTTCCATCGGGCAAAATATCTGGAATAATATATAAATAAGTGGTTAGGATGAAAAAAGAGACAAACGAGTAATCTACCTACACTCGCGTTAAAAACAAAACTACATAAAATACTGTAGGCTGGCGGCCCTACCGCGTGCCAACGCAGCGTTCGGTGTAGGCATTTATTTTCAAGGACAGGGCGGAGTCACAATACTGTATAGATAATATTACCGTGGTTGCTCGCATTAACAGAGCTACGTGTTGGTTTATACTGCCGCCTATCACTATCACCGCCTTCTACTAGAGTCTGTCCTTATGAGCCCTTTTACAAAATTGCGCCGCTGCCTGCCGTACTGATCGGCGCGTAGGTAGATTTGCACGTGTATATATTGCATATCACGGGTGATGTTTCGAGTCTTATAAAATAATTATCAATGAACTAATTATAAATATATATAAATATTTTAGTAGTTCGATAATGGTAGATTAGTTTTATGAAAGTAATTCTATTTAATTCAATATCAAAATACGGGTAAACCTGCATTGTTTTTTGGGAAAACTCACGGAGATTTGATGTTTTTTTGATAATCAATGAAATGGAAAATCAGAATTATAATAAATTATGTTACAACAAAAACATATTTATGATGTCGTATTAAATAATTTGATCTAATTTATTGATCATTATTTAAAGATTCAGGCGTTTGAAGTTGTGCGTATTATCGTTTTTTTCCGTAAACTAGCTGCGGTAGAACGATCAGTACAAAAAAAAAATAGTATTTGCAAATATCTCTTATTTAATAGACAAGTCCGTCCGTCCGTCCGTCCGTGGTGCTGTTTCAGCGGCCAAACCGTAAGAGATAGATACAGAGAATGTTTAAGTTATAAGTTAAGAATAGTCTGATAAGACTACAAACCGGATGTGAGTAACGTAGCACTTCCGGTTTTCGAGAAATCACGTGATTCCTATTTCAAACGAAACCACACAAAATCTCCGAAGTTCTCAATTAATTAAATACATTTTTTTTTTGTTGAACATTTGGTTCACTGGTTTGCTAGTTCTACATTAACTTACAATAGGAAGAATAATTACTTACTGTTTACTTCTATTGGAAATAGTCAAAATATTTTGTAAAGGGGTAAACGAGGTGCTTAAAAATTACGATTTTTTGCAAAAATGTGAAAGGGCTCTTAACAACACGTTTTTCACGTAAAATTATCGTACGTAAACGTCAACGGCAAGACGACGCATCCTGAAAAGGATGCGAAACTTCAATAAATAAATAAATCAGTGCATCTTTACCGTTGGAACTTGTTTTATTTAATAAGTGGTGTGCGTGAAAACCTAAAACATAATTTTTATAATGTAAAATGGGTGAAAAACTATCATAAAATTATGATGGACCTCGCTTTTTTTATATAAATACTAGCTGACCCAGCGAACTTCGTACCGCCCTAAAAAAATAGGGGTTGTCCAGCGGACAAAATTGTGAATCTAACCCATTCTCAGATCCACTTGAACACACACAAAAAATTTCATCAAAATCGGTCCAGTCGTTTAAGAGAAGTTCAGTGACATACACACTCACAGAAGAATTATATATATAAAGATTTCCAACACGTAAGCACTGTAAGCTTGTGTTATTTGATACTAGGGTAACGGATAGAATACATATACTGTACATACTTATATAAGATATTTAAATAGAAATACATATTAAACATCCATGACTGGAGTACAAATGCTCCTATTCATCACACAAACATCTGCCCCCACCGGGATTCGAACCCGGGACCTCTCGAGAACGCGACACCATGAAACCCGGCGCACAAATCACTCGGCCACGGAGGTCGTCATCCTTTCCAACTGACTTCGTCCTAGATATTTATTATTTATGATTTTATTTTTATTTTTAAGCATTTAACTGCTAGATGTTTAAATCTAAAGAAAAGTTTACTAGAAAAAAAACCACGCGGACCAGGCAGCGGACGGGACTCGAACCCGCATCCTTCACAATCCGGGCGAATACACTGACCATTATGCTACCACGGCCCTATTAGCCGCGTCGAAATTTTCCTAGCCTTAAGCTGCAAGGCAGCGCCATCTCTTCGCATTGTAGGTAACCCACAATGTCAAATGAATACTTTTTCAAGTATTAAACATTTGAAAGAAGAAATAGCAATTATAGTTATGTTTTTATTTATTTTTAAGCATTTAACTGCTAGATGTTTAAATCTAAAGAAAAGTTTACCAGAAAAAAAAATATAATATATTTATTATTTTGTGTCTGACACCTTCTTGTTTTTCAGCAGCCGCCTGGCGTAACATGGTCGATCAAGATTTGGACGATGTCGCCTTTCTTGCAGGTAAGACCCCAGCTTTAAGAGGTAGGGCATAGCAGGATTTATGTTCGAATCGGAGCACCCGTCTGGGGAAGCAACCTCGACCTTGCTACGCAACATCAAACAATTGAACTAGGGCTTGTTTACCGGTTAATTGTAAAACCTAAATCAGTGTCAAGTACATTAGGAGCGTTTTATTTAGGTTTGGCTCTACCGTAACGTTAAAAAAACCGGTTTTCCTAAAAAGTGAAATCAATTAGGTTTTGAATCAATTTAGCGGTTTTTAAACGGTTTCATTTCGCTCTTACTGACGACTGAAATAAATACAAAACTACAAAATGAATAACTTGACTCATTAGACGCTAGCAAACGTGTCAATAAATGCATCAATCTCTGAGCATTAACAAGTTGTGACTTGATTAGTTCAAACAAAACTAACTTCAAGCGATGCCGACGCGTGCACGTGTCGCTCTGGATTAAACCGGTTTATTAAGGTTTTAGGTATCGCTTTCATTTCGGACGTGCTGCGAACGAAACCTTTACTAAAAACCGGTATTAACCTTTATTTACCGGTATTTGTGAAACCGGTTTCAAGCCCTGAATTGAACCAAGTTATGTCTGAGCTATAAGCAAAACTTGGTTTTGATTGCGTCGTTGCCTTCGGGTGCGAGCGGTGATTGGTTCGATTGTTTCATGTCGCGTCGTTTGATTGGCTATTATCGAAGTGTAGTGGGGGCGAGCCGGCGACATTGGATCCCGTATAAACGGTCTTTGAGCATCCTTCTAGCCCCTTTCTGTGTTCTGTGGTCTCTTAACGGAACGATTGCTTCAAACTAGGCCAACAGCACTTAAGACCCGCGAGCTCTGCATGCTTAAAAGCTTTAAGCACAACTTAACGGTATTTCGCTTTTCAATGTAGCATGAACTTAGTTGCATATCAAAGTTCTTTGCATAAATATATCGTCGTAACTAGCATAGATTACATTTTAAAAACACCTTCTATTCAAAAAGAACCCCTACTATCGACTGCGAGATTTGTTTTAACTATTTTTTTATATAGCTCGGGTAGGCAAATGACTCTGTCCCACCTGATATTAAGTGGTGATAAAGTCCAAACGCGAAGATAGCTGGTACAGCATTTTTAAACTGCCACATCAACCATCCTCACCTTGCCGACCTGCAAAAATGCTTCTTCTCGCCTCTCTTAAAGGACCCCAGATTGTAGGAAGGCGGAACACGTGCGCGAAAGAATCCACTTACGAATAGTAAGACAAAGAAATGAGTCACCAAATTTCTTTGTTCGTGTAGGAATAGTGGCCACAGTAAGTCGGTGGCAACGTAGGCCAGTGCGCGTGGTCCTCTGAAGAAAAGCTGATGGAGGGAAAAGGGAGAATAACTCCTCAGAACACTCGCCGTAATATAGTCGGTAGAATAGGCTTAATGATACCACATCGCGGCGTAATATGTCGTGGGATCAATGGCGTAGCATAGGTCACTAGCACCCGGTGCGGATTCCAAATTGCCGCCCTCTTATTTTTGCAATTATTTTCTGTAAGCAAAAAATGCTGTCGATTGCCTCCAAGGTGTAGTTCGTGTTGCAACAATGTACGCGTAACTTTGCTGTTTTTCTACCAGTAGCTTTTAGCTTTAGCTACGGTGAAGTACAAAGAATGCGTAAGGAGACATATTTATTTAAAATAACATTGAAACTTGAAACGAAATAAGTTTCCTAAATAATAGTTATTGAGAAACCTTGCGCTTGCATCACCCATGCATAGAACCTGCATAGGTACCTGGGTATTTGGTAACAACAACAAAAAAATGACGAAAAAAAACTGAAAGAAATTAACTTTTTTTTATATTTTAATTTTTTTTCTCTATCTGCCACCTCCGCAGCGCCGCCCCCGGCAAAGTGCCGCCCGGTGCGGACCGCACCCCCCGCCCCCCCCCCCCATGCTACGCCACTGCGTGGGATGAAATGATAAATCGAATTTTCTTAATAATTCGGATTTTGCGATAACACGGATAATTATATTGCTCAATCTTACTGTTTCCGAATTTTTTTGTGCTTCCTCGGCCGCTGCAACGGCCCGCTCGCAACGCTCGCTCGCCTCGCGCGCCATGGTCACAACGTTAATGCATTGTTCACACATATCGAGCAAACGAGCGAGCCAGTGCTCTCGGCCAAGTACTCGGTACATATAAACAGAGCTCCAAGTGCTCGGCCGAGCGGTCTTACATGAGTTTTTAAACTTCCATCACTGTCTCGGCCGAGAAACATTTTACTGTCTCGCCCGTTTATTCGGTACGTGTAATCAAGGCATAATCTAACCTATTGTGAAGCCAAGAAAACCCAAAAACCCAAAAATATTTATAAAAAGCCAAAATCTTTTCGCAATCTTATCTTATCTTTCTTCAGTAACATCACAATTATCGCCATTATATGCCATTGTATAACTATCCAAGTTTTCAATTAAAAATTTAACAGAATTAGATTTTTCATATCTTCCTACGACATAGAGGTATATGAAGATTTTAGTTTATACATAAGGTAATATTTATTAGTAAAACTTTTTACATCATAGCACTAGATAACTAATTATTAGAGTAATTTTAGAAATCTCATCACACTAAAAACGGTCTCTGTTAAGTACATTTTATAGTAGGTACCACTTATCAATTATTTAAAAGGTTTCGAGACGGGTCCCTCCTACCTTTTCTGTTTCAGTATCAATTAACGGAAATGTTTATTTTCAGAAATAGAATTAGTTATTTCGGGTTTAGATTAGGTTAAATATAAGTAGTTGGTACATAATTTATTTAGTTTAGCATTAATATAACTACAGATCGCATCGCTAGACCCGCGGTAATACTTACATTTACATAACATACATTTTCTTAACATGGCCTGAGCAGACGAGGGAAATTACTCCGCGAAAGAAAAATGTCCCTGAATCGTAAAGAATGTCCACCGAGGACATCTTACTACTTGTTACTTGTTGTGGGCCCCCGTTTCCGCACGTAGACTCCATACTTGGTCCATTGTGCGTGCAGGGTATGTTGGACTAGCTAGCTCAGCCAGCCCAGCTCCTTCCAGAAGCGCAGTAGCCTCCTGGGGCTCTCACAGGCTTCTAGGAGCGTCCTCGACTTCCTGAGGATTGATGCCCGGTGTTCTGCAACGCTCGTGCATTCCAGGATCACATGAGCGGTCGTTTCATCTGCTTCCAGACATCCTCTGCATAGAGAGCTATCTGTAACGCGTATGGTTAGTAAATGCTTGTTAAGTGGGCAGTGCCCTGTTATGGTGCCTAGCATTACTCGGAGATCATTTCGGTTAGTAGTTTTCTAATTAGTCTGGGGTTGAGGTTGGGAAAAACATCCTTAGATTGCCTGCAGCCCTCGGTATTCGCCCAACGGGTGTTATGGTTCTGTGTGGTTCGTTGCCGCACCCATGTACGAAACTGATTGAAAGGTAATGGCAGAAGTGGCTCAGGGTCATCCACTTACTGTGATGATCCCCTTCTAGCTAGTTCGTCGGCTGCGTCATTACCCACGGAACCGCTATGTCCTTTGATCCATTGGAGGATAACCTTGTTATCCGTTGCTATGTACTCCAATGCCACCACCGAGGACACGTTGCGTATTCAATGCACACGACGTGCGAACATTTGTAGCCCGAAATATTTGAAAAGTGCACGACGTAGAAGTAAATATTCTCAGATTACGTTGAGTTGTCATTAACATGAAGTTGATAAAGAAGAAGAGAATACTGGGTCCATTTTTTTTACCTCTCGAGCAACGCGTTCGAAAATTCCCTGTGGGAGTTCTTTTTTATTAAAGATAGGTCTGACAAATCACTCCACCCACCTGATGTTAAGTGACGGTGAAGTCCAGACGTGAAGTTAGCTGAAACAGCAGTTCTACCTGCCACCCCAGCCATGCTTACCTTGCCGGCCTGCATATTGCTTCCTCGCGCCTCTTTTAATGGATCCAAGGTTGTAAAAAAGAGGGAACACGTGAGCAGGCAAAGCATTCCATTTACGGATACTGCGACAAAGAAAAGAGTCACCAAATTTTTTTGTACGCGTTGGAATTGTGGCCACAGTTAGACGGTGACAAAGAAGGCCAGCGCGCGTGGTCCTCTGAAGGAAAGGGGAAGGTGGAATAGAGAGAATATGGTTCCTCTTCTGGGGCGGACGTACGCGAAACGCCTTCGTCGCCATCCCAGCCGTCCCGTGCCCACTCTGAAGTGGTACCGCTGGCTCCAATTGTATGGTCCTCTTCTCTCTTCGCCTCGGGTCTTCTTTCTTCACCTCTCGAGTCCACTCCGAATCTTGTGCCATCTACGCGCCAAATCCCGCAGCTGCCTGAAGTTCGCCTCCGATCCCACAAGGTCGCAATAGTAGACCGGCCCAACCTCGAACACCTTCACACTGTCCAGAAGTTCCCTACGCGCCTAGAGCTTACACTCCTACAGAGCGTGGTATGCGTCCTCTACTACTCCCTCCCCACAGTAGCACGACCCCACCTCCGCGAGCTTCATCGGTGAAGCCTACCCCTGAAACAGCCATGTCCTGTCAGCATTTGCGAAGTTTCATAGTCAGACTCGACCCAAGTTATCACAGGACAGTCCAGACAGGACGCTGACACGACGCTTTTTCATTTTGTAAAGGACTGACAACGTCCGCGCGATGGAACACAGAGTAGTCCGCGAACTGTCCTTTCCTAAGTACACAGGGAACTCACGCAAACTCGGAGTCCCGAACAAGGTGCGGCGTTTTTTCACGCCCAAACAACTGTGCTTGTTGTATAAGACGCAGGTGTGGTCTTGCGTGGAATAATACTCGCACTTCTGGGATGACTCCGCTTGCTCGATGCTTTGGATAGGTTACAGCGGCGCGCAATCCGCATGGCGTCGCTAAGCGCGTTCTATCGTCTGTACCACGGCGAGCGAGTGTTCTGAGGAGTTAATAGGGACAAGGAGATAGATAAAGAATAATTTATAGGCAGTCAAGAAAGTACGCGCCGTGGAGGCCATTCCACGCGTATCTCCTGCTTCTTCGGCCTGCATAACCAAGAAGATTCATGGGTGGTTGATGAGATTTGTCCTGTGATAATCCTCAGAACTCCTTGCTGCCCCTAGTCACATAAGTTCATTTTTTTCCGGGATCTCCCGCGTCTTTGTCGTGTCTGGTCTCCCGGCGTCCTCGGTTATTCAAGGGACTTCTTACATGCGGTACTTTTAATCCTCGTGTGCGTTACTTTTAATCCTCGTGTGCGTTACTTGATGCAGTTGTATGCATACTATTTGGGTGGATCAAAAAGTCAGCGGATAAAAGTACCTCGTCTGTGCAGGCTATTAACCTCTCTTTATTTTTCTGTAGAAAGCAACGATACTTAACTGATTTAATAGAAAATATTTGTGATATTCAAATGTATGGTCGGCTGTTATATAGCCGTCCCTTTTCCTTGCGGTCCGTAACTGCTTTTTTACTAACATTCACAAACTTAGAATTGCGCGTAGAACAAAAGAAATAAGGTCTATATTCTTCCGCATATAACAATAAGGCATAAAATTTTACGAACTTGCATTTCGAACTGTCATAACACTAACGCATGCATTTTAATTAAGACTTTATACTGTAAGCGTTAAAGGTGACTTTCAGTGTTTAAATAATGCCTTATATTGTTTTTGACTACGCGATCATCTTACGGAGCTTTGTGAATTGTCCAATGTACCTTTTGGACAGGTTTCGGCGACGATTTAGTTCGTGTCGTTGTATCTAGCGTATCTATTATCGTTGAGAGAGCATGAGAAGGATAGCTTACTAATTGATATCAATAATAAATCTATTTACTTACATTTGTTTCCAGACACAGATAAGGCCCGAGAAGCGCGCGAGCTGCGCGAGACACCGGTCGCTGTCTGCTCGCAGCGGCGTGCGCTATGTCTGGCCGCGCTTGTTTTCTCCGCCATGTTCGCTACAGCGTTACTCGTGGTGTACGCTACTCCACAAGCTGGTACGTTCATCATTACCATCGTATTAATGTTTCCGGAGTTTTTTTTTATTTGGCTTACAAAACTGGTTACAAAGAATATCCATATAAATATATGCATACAAAAAAAACATCAACTACTTTGCAACCTACTAGATGCAAGCACAACATGCATTTCTAAAACTACCTAACTACTAAGGATATATACTAAAGGATAAATATAGCACATATAGGTTAAACTCTAACTAAAAAAATTAAGTGACAGTTAAAACTAAAAACCTAATCAGAGAATATAGTTTTTGGCGGGATTTTTGTCGAGTGCGGTTGGCGTATTATTTTAATTATTCTTTAATAGGGTATTTGACAGTATTAAAAATAAAGTGCCATTTGTTAGCATCTGTGTTTAGAATGAATATTGGCACGGGTTTTTACTCTTTTCTTTGCTTGCATGCTTTAAAAAAAATCATAATTTTATAAAAACCCACGACAAAGATAATAGTTTTCTTATCTATTGTCATGTGACCCAAAACGCTTGGGCTTGGCGGAGCCTAAAATGACGTCACACGCAAGTAAACTTCCGGTTAAAGTGACATTACATTGTATCGTTTGACGTTTTAATAACAGTATTGTATCGTCACACACTAGTAAGACGCCATATTGTCCAGAAAAACGTTTTCGCGGCAACTTGAAAATGGAGTTTTGAATTTGGTTATTTTTACTGAAATACAAAACAGAATGATGATCCACTCCACACATTAGTGGAATCTTTAAAATATACGCTATTCCGGTCAAGTGGACGTGAGAACTTTATTGTAGTGTTGACTACCTTACAGAAGCTTATTGAGAAAGCTGACTCGATACATTTCGTACCAAATAGTCCAAGAAACATAAGAATGCGTCACATCCACATTCTAATGTAAAAAAAAGAACTTAATTTTGCCTACTAAATTCTTCTACCATGTTTTACCTTAATCTTCTTTCCTTAGTTACACTTATAGATGTAAGGCCGGTTTAAAACCAATTAAACCAATCCATTTAAAACCGAAATAAACATTTTTTTTCGATTTAAAACGGTTGGTGTTGATGACTATGTTTTTCTTAATTATAACTACATTGTCTTGATTTTACCGAGGTAGGAATATAACGGAGTACCTATAAACTGTATAAAGATTTTTTAAATGTGTGATATACTTACTGATATTGCATATTGATATACTTAGCGAGTTTAGTTCCAGTTGGTCCATCCGCGACCTAGGTAATGTACGTAGGTACTTTCTATTGATTTTCTTTATACCTACTAATATAAGTAAAACGAAACATGACGTCAGGTGACCAAAAATTGACCATAATGAAGTGTAAAAAACATAGTTCTTTTATTTTTGTATGCCAGTTTTCAACCGTTCAAAACGATTTATTTGGGGTTTAAAACGGCAACATTTTGTTTAAAACATTTGAAATCGGTTGTTTTACATCTATAATTACACTCCTGTAGGGCGATTCTGTTAAATAACATCTCACTTCCGATTTCATTAGCTGCTAGTTAAGACATTAGTTTGATATGCATTACGCCATTACACGGCAGTAGTAGGTAGTTATTGGGAATTCTAATTCACTTTTATCTCTACATCACAAAACCAAAAAAGTGAATTACAATCCCCCAATTACAAGCGATTGGAGGCTTCTAATTCACTTTTTTGGTTTTGTGATATAGAGATAAAAGTGAATTAGAATTCCCAATAACTACCTACTCACGGCAATAGTCGCTATGTCTGTAGAAGCAACCAGTATTAGTTATTTGACATTTGTCAGAAATCCGATTATATGAGATCGTAAGTGAGATTGCATCTTACAGAATACCTATGCAGGTTAGGTTACCTATTTAATTTAATTTAAAAATAATTAATTCAGTTTAGGCTTTTACAAGCACACGTGAAAGTCGAAAACTACATCGGTTCGTAAAACTACAGCGGGAGACCTTGTACTGAGAAGAACCGGCAAGAAACTCAGCAAGGACTGCTTTTTTCTGCCTGTTTTATTTCAAACAGTGTCGTCAAATTGAAAGCTGACATCAAACTTGCAAACATTTATTGAGGTCAACTTTCATCACATAATGTCAAATAGGTAACTCAGCAGGAGATGCTTTTTTCACCCTGTTTTATTTCATACAGTGTCGTCAAATTGAAAGCTGACGTTAAACTTGCAAACATGTATTGAGGTCAACTTTCATCACATAATGTCAAATAGGTAACAATATCAACGAATGGTAACGAAGAATACAGTAGGGTACAGAAACGAAGGAAAATCAGGTTTACAGTAAAATGTAATATCTAATCCACCTCATTGAGGAGCTCGATGGCGCAAGTGGCGCTAACCACTTGCGCCATCGAAGTTAAGCAACTTTCGCAGTGGTCGGTCATTGGATGGGTGACTAAAAATTAACTATCTCGAGCTCCTCCGTGCTTCGGAAGGCACGTTAAGCCGTTGGTCCCGGCTGCATCTGCAGTCGTTAGCACCCACCAATCCGCACTGGGGCCGCGTGTTGGGTCATGGCCCAATCTTCCTATTCCAACCATAGGGAAGGCATGTGCCCCAGCAGTGGGGACATTAATAGGCTGATGATGATGATGATAATCTACCTTACCCTATTCTTACAGATTGTCCATGCGCGGGAGAGAATCCCCTGATCCCGGGACAGCCACCGACAGGAGCGGAAACTAACACGGCTGCAGCGAACAAGTACGAATTTTATTTATTTATTAAATTTTAAAGAAAAGAATTCCCTATAAAGTTAAACTAATGCTGTGTGTAACTCTCTAGCCGAATCATATATACAATATATTTTTTTTGACGTGACAACGTCTTAAATTAGGTTGCGGCTGGGAGTCACTTATGAAAAAGTGTAACGCTCGGTAACGTTACGATGAGTCTCTCGTGTTAAGTTTAAGTTTACATGTACAATGTTTTAGTAAACAAAATATATTTCTATAGTTAAAATTTGTGCAATTCTTATTTTCATTCAATTCCTTGTTCCTATTGTGCAATTCAATTATATTCATATCAATAAATATTCTACCGAGAAAAAGACGTTGTCACGTAAAATCTTCGCCCGTAAAACCGACTTTACAGGCAACCATTTTTTTAAAAAAATATGGTTTGAGCAGCTATGGCCGTACCTATCACACTTATCTAAATAAAACCTTTAACCTCCAACTTAAAATTTTAAAGAATTATTGTATCAGGTAAATAAAATACGACGAAAATATCATAATGACGATATTAGTCTTTTTAAACATTGCCGTGTCTTGCCTGTTTTTTTTTATTCAGTTTAAATACATTTTCATTAAAATGCAATTCTTTAACGATGATCTTAAAAAAGTAATAAATCACCCCGCGTAATAAATCACCCCCGTACACGCGCGCAGTGGCTATGAACCAGCTGCAGAAGAGTCGCGCATGTAATGTAGGTATACGGCAAAAGAACTGCCACCTACCTACTTCCGAGATTTATCAATGAATTACTGCCGGACTTACGGGCCACTCGAACAAACGCTAATATTAAAAATAAATTAAAAGAATACTTTTTAAACTTTTTACTTTTTTTTTTACTTTTTTTTTTTTTTTTTTTTTTTTTTCACCATGGTCTTTCATGCCAAATGAGCGCTGGCCGAGTCTCCCGCCACGCCTGCATCAATGACGTCATCCGCAGAGCTCTTGTCGCAGTCAACGTGCCAGCGGTCCTTGAGCCTAGCGGCATCTTTCGTGACGATGGCAAGAGACCTGACGGAATGACGCTCATTCCGTGGAAGCAGGGTCGCCCTCTTGTGTGGGACGCAACTTGCGCGGATACGCTTGCTCCGTGCCACACAGAGAGCACCTCCCTTGCTGCGGGTGCGGCGGCGGCCTCTGCTGAATGCTCTAAACGGCGCAAATATTCAGCTCTCAATGAGAACTATATATTTGTGCCGTTTGGTGTTGAGACCATGGGCCCATGGGGTCCAAGTGCTCGTTCCTTTTTTAGGGAAATATCAAAGAGACTCACCGAAGTTACTGGTGATCAAAAGGCTGGCAGCTATCTTGGTCAACGGATCAGCCTTGCCATTCAACGTGGCAATGCTGCCAGCCTATTGGGCACCATCCCTGACGGCGGCGATGGGGGTGACTTATTTTTTATTTTGTAAATAGGATGTTATTTATAAATAGGTTTAGGAAATTTGTATTTAAATATTATTTATTTCTGTACATATATAATTATTACAATAAATTAATAAAAAGTCTTTTTAAACAATTAAAAAAAAATCCTGATTACTTATACAATGTACTTATCCAAGCCCAATATATTTTGTCTATTTTAAATGTGCATTCATACCATTTTTTTTATTAATAATGAAATAAAGTAATTCCGTTAGCAATTTAAATATTGTCGTGCAGGCGTACATCATCGCATACATTCAAACCTCTGTTGTTTTAAGATGCGATTGATCACAACATTATAAATATATTTCTTTGAAACTAGTAATAATAATAATAATAATAAAAAATGTTTGGAAAAATCCCATGGAAAAGATGATATGTGTGATGCGTGCGCAGCTCCTCCCGACGAGATATAAACCGTTGTAATGTATCAGTTACCATGAAATACATCACACAGCGCCATTTGCCCGGCGTGTCGCAGTATGTGACGTACGTCGCGTTGACGTCCTGACTAGGGTCACCATCCGTTCGGACTTTGCCCGGCTTTTTAATTTGTCCGAATTTTTTTAACAAGCTGGAATATGAGTAAAACTACATATTAAGTTATAACAAATAAGTAAAATAATCTATAAGGTCTCATTTATTTAAAACAAAATATAAATCATGTTTGAAAATCAAAAACGAGACCCCGAGACGACGTCTGCTACCACGCGTATAATATCACTGTAACTAAGTGGGTGATTTTTGCATTTTGTGACTAAAATGTCCGGACTTTTATCGAAATGTCCGGCATTTTTTAGGAATTTTCAAATTTTTAAATAGTACCCTAGTCCCGACCCACCCGCCGTCTGAATGAATCTTAAGAGAGGACGCGAGCTGAGAGTCATTTGAAAAATTGGTATTTGAAAAAACTGTTGCTGTTACTGTCACGCATTGGCAAATACCGTGCGATAGGGACAACAGCAGCTAACGCTGAAAATTGCGCATAATAATCAACGATATTAAATACCCTAGATACACCACGAGCGCTCAAAATGTGTCCCAATCAAGACGTGCTTGAACTCCACTCAAGCACTTCTTGGTTCACAGCCACGCGCGGACCGTTACAAAGTCAAGATGCCACAGAGCTCCGCGAAAAAATGCGAAAATAATACTTAGAGTACAAAAAGTGTCGTTTTTTCGACAGGTATCTAGTCAATGTTTGTTAATTTAACGCATTTGAAGTAAATTCTATTCGATCTAATACTTACTATAAACTGATTTAATATAAAATATTTGTGATATTCAAATGCATGGTCAGTTATATGTTGCCATATAGCCGTCTCTTTTCCTCGCGGTCCGTGCCTGCTATATTGCTAACAGCCCGTTCAGAACTGCGCGTAGAGTCAAAGAACTAAGGTCTAAAAAGGTCCGCATATAGCAATAAGTCGTAAAATTTTACGAGCTTGCATTTCGAACTGTCAGAAGTCCTTGACGCATGCGTTTTATTTAAGACCTTATACTGTATGTATTAAAGGTTACTTTCAATATTTAAATAATGCCTTATATTGATTTTGACTATGCGATCATCTTACGGAGCTCCGTGGATCGTTCAATGTACCTTTTGGGCAGGTTTCAGGCAAGATTTTGTTCGTGTTAGTGTATCTAGGGTATTTAATATAGTTGATAATAATTGCAAAATTCGAGGTTTGGCTCTCGACGATTTCCTCCTCGAAAATTTGGATATATGTAAAAGAAAGGAGATTGCTCAAATTGGCCCAAATGCACAAAAAATATTGACATACACGGTAATTCTTGGCGTAATTTATAATTTAATTTACAGTCATTAGATTTCAACGGACACCTTTGTATAATATATTTACTTTAAAAAGGACTTTTAATTTTACCGGTTATGTTTTCCAAAAACATACGAATTATTTTTAATGGCTATGGGTGTAGTAACATTCAGCCAAAGACTGATCGAAGTTGTTTATATAACATAAAAACAAATCTATTTTGTAAAGATCGATAAAATAAATCATTTTCTTTTATTACATTGTGGTATTAACATCCACAACTTTATTATCATTTTCACTAGATGCAAATGTGCTCAGACAATTATTATAGATTACCATCTATCAACACATGGACAGCGACATCATAAAGCCTTTTGCCTTACATTTTTCGCCTTACACCTCCATAAACACATTATAATTTGTATATATGTTAGACTTTAAGGTATCTATCTATGGGCCTACGTTCCCTGACTATAAATAAATAAAATTATAAGGTGTGGTACACTAAAAATCTAAAATATGGTTATCTTAAAAACATAACAAAAATAATGAAGCTACTGAATATATGGCTATAGAACCTAAATCTCTTAGCTTTCTTTGGTTAACGAGAGTTTAAAAATTCTCTGTAATCTGTGGCTCATTCACAATCATCACACAGTTTCTGTCACAGAGTACCTTATTATAACCGGAAATGACACCTGATTTTAAAAGTTACTCTTATGCATTAACTTTAAAAACGGGCAACTATCTGTTAATCTACATGCTCTATATACCTGAATCTAATCCATAATTTCGGTACTTGGCTTCCCTTAGTTCCCCTAGTTTACTATATAACTTATTTGTTTTTTATTATTTTAATATGTTCAGTGTATATGGTTTATAGAAGTTCTCAGGGGTGTCCGTCAATAATATCGTTTCTACAGTAATTTATATATAATTTCGAATCTAGGAAACAATTTTTCATGATTATTGGTCTTTAGGCCAAACATGTATGGAATCTGAGCCATCTCCTTTGCCCATAATATAATAAATAGTTATGAATTTCCACACTAGACTAGTTTATTTTTGGCATTTCTAAGTTCTTCTAGTTGCTTTGAAACACGTGTTATCGAAAAAAGGAAGACATGAGCATAGAATGAGTAAAATTATATTTTATGTATGAAAATCATTTCTTTGGTGATAAAAAATAAGGAGGAATCAGACAAGTCAGAAGTTTCTTAAAGGGGAGGTTACGAATTGTATTTTTAGAAGAACAATTACTATTCTTTGATGATCATTTAAATTAAATAAAACTAAAATAAAAAAATGGGTGCGTGTACTTATGTAGGCGCGTGAGAAGTTATCCTTCTTTGGCATCGTTTAAAATTAGTTTTTAATTGCATGCAAATAATTAATTACAATAAATTAATAAAAAGTCTGGAAAAGGACACAGTCAATAAAGTTCAGTTTTAATTTGAAAAAATAAATAAATAATCAAAATATTCAATTAAAATCGCTACTGAATATAATTTATTAGAACATATGTGATTTGCACTTGAATGAAACTCAAACACGTATTCCGAATATACAAACTAGAAACATGTGGATAAATATTATAAATATGAATACCTATAACTGTTACTTTATTACAAAAAATAAAGATGTGGTTTTTGGTTCTACTACACCAATGGTCAAGAGATGGCGCTGTAGTCTCCTGAATCGCGCTTTGGTTCCGTTGTTCCAGATTAATAAATACTTTATATATCGATAGGCCTTCACAATGCAGTCGTTAGCACCCACTAAATAGAGATTCTATTTCTATTTTGTTGGTAGATTTTCTTAATGTGCGGTAAACACAAAAGTAACGCATGAAGTTGGTCGCTAAAGCGACCAACTTCATGCTGTTAAAATTTTGTGTTACAGTGATGCGCGCGCATCTTAAAATTTCACTCTCATCATTTTTTCATAACGCGCCTAAAGAAGTATAACTTCAAAAAAAATCGTCAGAATAATGACGCAGACCTGAAAAGGCTGCGAAATGTCAATCTATTATAAAACTCAAAGGTGACTGACTGACTGACATAGTGATCTATCAACGCACAGCCCAAACCACTGGACAGATCGGGCTGAGACTTTGCATGCAGGTATAAGAAGAATAATAGATGCATGTCATTGTGTATAATACAAGCCTGAGAACAAAAACTGTAGTCTACACCGAAGCGAAGCGAGGGCGGGCCGCTAGTAAATAAATAAATTCGTGCATTAACCGTTAAAACTAGTTTTATTAAATGAGTGATGTGCGTGAAAACCTAAGAAACTAATATGAGCCTTTATTTCACAGGGATCGTATAGCAAGCAACGGACAAGTGTTCCCGTGGAGGGGGGCTCGTCTACCCACATCCGTGATACCCAAACACTACAGCCTGTGGTTGCATCCTAACCTCACCACGGGGGAGCTGAGAGGTGCGTTATTATTGCCTTTAATTATCAACATAGTACAGGTCGCCACACGTAACTCCAGCGCTGAACAAAACGCGTCAGGGATAGCTGCGCATGTGAGATGTCAGCTTGAGGAAAGCAGGTGATGGCCACAGTGGAGGCAGCTAATACAAGACGCGGACGCGACTACTGATGCCAGATTGGGGGGTTCCCCCCAATTTCGGGGGGTTTTTAAAGCGATGGGGGGATTAATGGGGGAAAAAGAAATTTTATTTTAATTTAACCCCCTTGGTCATCATCATCATCAACCTATTAATGTCCCCACTGCTGGGGCACAGGCCCTATGGATGGAATAGTTAGATTGGGCCATGATCCACCACGCGGGTCTAGTGCGGATGCAGCCGGGACCAACGGAGGAACTCGAGACAGAAGATTTTTGGTCACCCATCCAACCGACCGACCACTGCGAAAGTTGCTTAAGTAGAAGAATAGTCAATATATTTTATTATAATTTCTATTTATAAGCATGTAACTGCTCGATGTTTAAATCTGAAGCAAACATTACTAGAAAAATATTACTAGCCCGGATAGTGAAGGGTCGAGTCCCGTCTGCTACCTGGCCCGCGTGGATTTTTTCTAGTAATAATTTCTTTTTTTTTGTATAAGTTCTCCCTTTTTTGGGAAGGCAAGGGGTGCAATGCCCATACAGCCTTCTTTAAATATTCTATTCTTTCTCAGGCGAAGTGTCAATAGATTTCAAATTGGATCGCGACACGAGTTTCGTGGTACTCAACGTACGGGATATGAACGTGACAGAACGGGCCCTCTTCAAGACGGGCGGGGCCTTGGGACCTAAAGTGGCGAAGGCACTGGACTATCCGGCTGCAGACCAGACCTATATTGAGTTCAAGGTTATTAATTAAATTATGTATAATTATAGTTATTATACACTTCCGGACACATCTATCGGCCCAATAAGTGTTTTAGTTCTTTACGGTCTGTAGAAAAAAATAAAATTTAGTTAGATTAAACAATAATAACATAGTTTTAAAAACACACGAAAAAGATGGTTAATAAATCATCTTCCAAACTGCGTTAAAAACTTTTTACTCAATGTAGAATTGTTTTTTTGCTAGGGACCGTTAAAATCATATAGGCCAAATCTCAATATGTTATGTGGGTCGATAGATGTGTCTGGGAGTATATGTATATATATGGTAGGTATCATCTAATTTTATCTCGCCAACAATCACTTCATTATTTGACTCTATAATGTAGTTAATCTGTGCTTGTCTCCACTGCATTGTTATGGCTGTTTTTTCTTTTCTTCTTGCAAAATCTTTTAAATGTTTATTATTAACTAGTGGCCCGCCCTCGCTTCGATTCGGTGTAGAGCTGTAGTGTAAACTATAGTTTTTGTTCTCAGGCTTGTGCTATAAACAATGACTTTATTAATTACGTGTTATTGTGAGTCAACCATAAAAGATAGACATATGCTGTTGCGGGATATTTTTTAGACAATTTTATGTAGAATATTTCCGTCATACATGATTTCTATGTAACTTTAACCATTAAGGCTGCACACGCGACGGAAGCTTAAAAAATGGAGTAACTTCTCCCGTTTTCCCAACATTTCCATTCACTACTCTGCTCCTATTGATTGTAGCGTGATGAAAAGTATACTATAACCTGCCCAGGAGTATGAAGAATAATTGTACCAAGTTTCGTTAAAATCCGTCGAGTAGTTTTTGTTTCTATAAGGAACATACACACAGACAGACAGACAGACAGACAAAAATTTTACTGATTGCATTTTTGGCATCAGTATCGATCACTAATGATGACACCCCCTGATAGTTATTTTGAAAATATATTTCATGTACAGAATTGAGCTCTCTACAGATTTATTATAAGTATAGATAAAGCTACTCTACTCACTCAAAAAGGTGATGGCTGAAAATCTGTGTTTTGTTTTAAAACTGGCAAATGTTTAGCCGAGCCTTGGCCTTTTGCTTTCTGCAGCATACTTAAGGGTATTCTCATAGCTGATTTCTTGTATTTTTTTTTACTATACTACTCTGAAATGTGTAAGTATGTTGAAGAAAAAAAGACACGCATTATCTTTCTATCTATCTATACCTCCCGCATAGAGCAACACGACCGACATGGCCAGACTCGAATAACAGGATTGCTATGGCTATCGCTATCGATTATGATTTAATTTCGTGGTTTCTGACCGCCGAAGGTTTACGAATACCTCAGTCTCATTTTCTTTAATATTGTTATTACCAATGCAAAAGAAAAAAAGAGCGAGGGGGTCATTTGAAAACCTTCGGCGGTTAGAAACAACAATATGGAATCCTAAGCGAAAGCGATAGCCATAGCAACCTCGTTGAGCGATTGGGCCCAATGAGGGATGGGGCATATTCACGATATATGTGTGCACGATTTGGCGATGTATTGTTGTCATTGTTGGCCGCAGCCCAACTGATGTTGGTCGGGCATTGTATATATGGAGTGTTAGCATCCGAATTTCACTTGCGCTATGTAGGCTTCCATACGTACTGATCGCAGCGCCGGTAGCGCCATCTCTTGAGGGGGCAAGTGATTATTTCCTCCATTCGTTTAGATATATGTCCGGCATATAGATGTCGCCGCCACATAGCCATGTACGTTAAACTGCATTTGTGTGCATATCCCCCTCCCCCCGCGCAAAAATGCCAGAATGATTTGGATAGTATTAGTGTTGCCGCACACGGGCCACACGCCACAGCCACAAACGCCACTACGACAAGCTAGAAGCGGCTACTAAAGTGGCTGAAGCGCGCGACAGCGGCCGAGTAAGGTAAGGGAGAGAGGGGTGGGGAATCGCGCGAGTGACGTGTGGCGGCGTTTTGTATCGGCGCATTAAGTGGCCGGTGCGGGCCACAAGAAGCGAGCAACGACCATTTGTAGCGTGTGGCGGCCACCGGCATACCGTGTGTGGCGAGTCCATATAAAATATATGAAAACTACAAGATTTATGCCAGTGGCGGCGTTTTGTGGTTGTGGTCCGTGTCCGGCGACACTTAGCTTATATTATTATTACTATGGCTATGTAGTTATACAGTATTTTATAGTAATATAAGTTATTTACGGGATTGTTACCATGTACTTACCTTGTTTCCGATATTTCGGCACTGTTGCAAGCGCCATGATCACGGAGTAACTGAAGTAATTGCGGGTAGGCTGTTATTGGCAGACATATCGGTCTACCATCCGACAAAGTCTTTTATTGCGTTCGATACCCGTACCACTGTTCACATTCTCACTATTCACTCGAAACTGGTCTCGACACACAACACTTACAGTATCGGATCGCGACACGACACTTTTTTGATTAGTTCCGGTTTTACACATACGAACCATAGGATTCCGGACACCAGACAATTTAAACCTGTCCTCACGATTGAAATTTTTATGTTTTGTTATTTCAATCGCTTCCCTGACGAATTTTGGTATGTAGTGGCGTTCTGTCGAGATAATCTGTGGGTTATGAAACTCAATCCAGTGGTTAGTACCAGAATCAATCAAATATTCCGCGATGGCTGATTTCTGCGTATCATTGTTGCCGAAATATCGGAAACTCGCTAAAGACAAGGTACATGGTAACAATCCCGTAAATAAATTATATTATTATAAAGAATATTTTTATTAATTTTGCAAATTAACTCACATGTACAGAAATAAATAATATTTAAATACAAATTTCCTAAACCTATTTATAAATAACATCCTATTTACAAAATAAAAAATAAGTCACCCCCATCGCCGCCGTCAGGGATGGTGCCCAATAGGCTGGCAGCATTGCCACGTTGAATGGCAAGGCTGATCCGTTGACCAAGATAGCTGCCAGCCTTTTGATCACCAGTAACTTCGGTGAGTCTCTTTGATATTTCCCTAAAAAAGGAACGAGCACTTGGACCCCATGGGCCCATGGTCTCAACACCAAACGGCACAAATATATAGTTCTCATTGAGAGCTGAATATTTGCGCCGTTTAGAGCATTCAGCAGAGGCCGCCGCCGCACCCGCAGCAAGGGAGGTGCTCTCTGTGTGGCACGGAGCAAGCGTATCCGCGCAAGTTGCGTCCCACACAAGAGGGCGACCCTGCTTCCACGGAATGAGCGTCATTCCGTCAGGTCTCTTGCCATCGTCACGAAAGATGCCGCTAGGCTCAAGGACCGCTGGCACGTTGACTGCGACAAGAGCTCTGCGGATGACGTCATTGATGCAGGCGTGGCGGGAGACTCGGCCAGCGCTCATTTGGCATGAAAGACCATGGTGACCCAACTCACCGACGCAAATTATAAAGTATTTTTTACCAAAACAATATTTTGGTGCGTATGCATCGCCTACAGGTTCCGTGATCAGTGTGAAACTAACTCGAGAATCTGGGAAGTTTTGGTTGATTTAATTTATTTCAATTAAAAACCATATGTTTTTCCATTGCAGGAGAAACTCCGGCGCAAATACAATTACACATTGAGCCTTCGTTTCATCACAAAACTGGAGAGAAACGGCAAGCATCGTGGATTCTTCATAACTGGAACACAGAAGCAGTACGTATTGATTTATTTTATTATAACACTAAAAACACACACCTTATATACATATAGTAATGTTTCAGTCCCTGGAATATTGGTATTTTTTTTGGGAATATTCCCGGGGTTAATTTCTAACTTAGACTGAGTTATTTACTAAATATTATCATAATTTAGATATAACCATAAAGATTTTTGGAAAGCCCCCGTAAATTGACAACGCAGCTTATCACTAGATAAGATTCATACCAATAAAATAAACTTTTAGCTGGGACGATGGCTTCTTCGTAGAATAATAAATTTTGAATACGAATTTTTACCCTTTTTTTACTCAAACCAATTAGCCTAGCCCCAAAGTAAGTACTGTAAGGCTTGTGTAATGGGATACTAGGGTAACGGATAGAATACATACTGAACATAAATAAGTATATTTATGTAGAAATACATATTAAACATCCATGACTGGAGCACAAATGCTCGTATTCATCACACAAACATCTGCCCCCACCAGGATTTTAATCCGGGACCTCTCGAGTTGGCGACACCATGAAACCCGGCGTACAAACCACTCGGCCACGCAGGTTGTCAATTTACTTCACGTCCTTGGGTTTATTATATTGTCGCTACAAACAGTATGACAGTATGTCTTCCTTATATGACTGCCAAAATTCATCAAAATCGGTTAAGCGGTTTTAGAAGATAAAACCTATAACATCATTTTTTTATTTACTTTTTTTACTTAGTAGGTTTATAAGTATTTGAATGATTGTAATATTATCGTGTTTTTCCCCCAAATTAAAACGTGGCTGCGTGATAGAACTCAGAAAATACACTTGACAGAGTGGAAAACAGGTGAAGGATGTCGGCAAACGAAAAACGCAGTTCCGGCGGCAAATAAGAGACTTGCTCTTACCCTTACCAGACCTAATAGGGACAAACTCCACATAATTATAGGAACCCTAACTGATCATTGTCCCCTTAACAAACACCTATACACAATAGGAGTAACAGACAGTCCCCTATGCAGAGGATGTATGGAGGCAGAAGAAACGCCACAGCATGTCATCATGGAATGCAGGAGCGTGGCCGACCAACGGGCACGACTTCTCCAGACGCCAGAATCGCTTCCGGAAACTTGCACTTACTTAGGCTGGCTGGAGTAATACGGGGATGTTTCAAGGCACGCACAATGGTCCAATGATTAGGACTAAGTACGGAAACCGCATTAAAAAACTAACTAATTATCGTGTTTTTCTTACAGTCGCTGCGCAATATCAAGGTTTTGGTTGACGCATGCGCGATCCGCGTTTCCATGCTTAGACGAACCCCATATGAGAGCTACATTCAAACTCACCATAGTGAGAGACAGGTACTGTAACTTTATTATATATCTTTTTAATCACATATAACGTATGCTCAAAATCATTTATTGTTTTAAACTTTCATGGTCACTAACATTATAGCTATGAACGGGATTGTTACCATGTTATGAGTCTTGATTTTATGAGTCTCCAATATCCGATGATATCCTGATTACTCCGTGATCATGGCGCCGAAATATCGGAGACTCATAAAAAATAAGGTACATAGTAAAAATTCCGTTAATAGCTATAAATCAAAATAATTTATTCAGGTTACAAGCTCTTGTGAACGTCAAAAGTGAACGTCAATTCTACGCCATCGGTTCGTAAATCTACGGCGGGAGAACTTGTACTGAGAGGAACCGGCAAGAAACTCAGCAAGGGCTATTTTTTTCTTCCTGTTTTATTTCATACAGTGTCGCTAGATTTATTGATCTAAAGAAAATTTTACTTTAGGCAAAACTAACTAGTAAATATGCATATCCCCCCGAAAACGGAAGGCGCGAGTTCAAATCTCGTAGGTATAGGTAGACAAAGTGGACTTTTTGCTATGACGACCTTTGCTGACGGCTTATCACGACTGCTACTAAATTTTTATCATTAAAATAATAACAACACTAAACTAATTCTTATTTTCCAGATTTCACGTTTCGTTGACGAATATGCCGATCATGGCGACAGAGGAGGCAGGCTTCTACTTGGGACACAGATTGGTAAGTTACTTAAATCATTTGATTTAATTAAATCATTTCATATTTATGAAGCGGATTGAAATATTTGAAATCCCGTCAGCAGTCAGCATCCAAAGATTGCAGGTTTTTTAACACTAAAGTGTTAACACCAAATAAATTTGGAACTAACGAAAGAGCATATCATCATCATCATCATCGTCATAGTCATAGTCATAGTCATCGTCATCGTCATCGTCATCGTCATCGTCATCGTCATCATCATGGTCATGGTCATGGCCATGGTCATGGTCATGGTCATCGTCATGGTCATGGTCAAAGTCACCGTCATGGTCGTCGACATGGTTGACCATAACGGGTCATCGTCGCCGTCATGGTCATCGTCGCCGTCATGGTCATGGTCATCGTCGTCGTCAACGTACTCGTCATCGTCATCGTCATGGTCATCGTCATCATCATCGTCATCGTAATCGTAATCATTATCGTCATCGTCATCGTAATCGTTATCGTCATCGTAATAGTTATCATCATCGGCATCGTAATCGTTATCGTCATCGTCATCGTCATCGTCATGGTCATAGTCATAGTCATAGTCATAGTCATCGTCATCGTCATAGTCATAGTCATGGTCATCGTCATGGTCATCGTCATCGACATGGTCATCGTCATCATCAAGGTCATCGTAATCGTAATCATTATCGTCATCGTCATCGTAATCGTTAACGTCATCGGCATCGTAATCGTTATCATCATCGGCATCGTAATCGTAATCGTTATCGTCATCGTCATCGTCACCGTCATAGTCATAGTCATAGTCATAGTCATAGTCATAGTCATAGTCATAGTCATAGTCATCGTCATCGTCATAGTCATCGTCATGGTCATCGTCATGGTCATCGTCATGGTCATCGTCATAGTCATCGTCATGGTCAACGTCATGGTCATCGTCATCGTAATCGTAATCGTTATCGTCATCGTCATCGTCATTGTAATCGTTATCGTCATCGGCATCGTAATCGTTATCATCATCGTCATCGTCGTCGTCATCGTAATCGTCATCGTCATCGTCATGATCAACTTCATGGTCATCGTCATGGTCATCGTCATCGTCATCGATATGGTCATCGTCATGATCATCGTCATCGTAATCGAAATCGTTATCGTCATCGGCATCGTAATCGTTATCATCATCGTCATAGTCATTGTCATAGTCATTGTCATAGTCATGTCATCATCATCAACCCATGTTCGTCCACTGCCTGGACATAGCTCTCCCCTAATGCACGCCACTGCTCCCGATTTTGTGCTACTCTCATCCAGCCCACTCCAGCCAGTCTACGAATATCATCATCCCATCTTGTCACACTACGTTTACCGAGTCGCGGTCTCCACTCAAGAACTTTCCGGCTCCAACGGCCATCAGTTCTGCGGCTAATGTGACCAGCCCACTGCCACTTCATTTGCTAATTCGATGGGCTATGTCGGTGACTTTGGTTCTCAGTCGGATGCGTATGATGTATCCCTGAAGGGGTACTCCGAGCATAGCCCTTTCCATAGCTCTCTGAGCGACTTTAATAATAATAATAATATTTATTTGGCTGAGCCTATTTTATTACTTTTATCTATTTTATTTTTACGAATTGTAATTTATTCTCTATTGCATGTTTAAAAGACAAACGAAGCAATTTTTTCTGCTGTTTCAAAAAATACGAAGAGCTACAAAATAATAAAAAAAAACTAGAAAAAATCCCTGTCATTGGATCCGTGTATCAGCGATAGAGGTATAAGAATAGAGTAGGGGAGATATGTACTCTACTACAAGTGGAAGTGTCCGTCTAGTAGAAAGAGAAAGAAGATGAAAGACCTCTAGGTATCTCTCTCTCTCTTGTGACGCTGCGCAGTCGTGTGATTGGTCGGTATTGCTGCGCAGTCGTGTGATTGGTCTGTATTCATACATATGTCTTTCCTCCAGCTAGCCTTTCTCTTTCTATGCGCATTCGCGATTAGAAAGAGAAAGGCTAGCCGTCTCTCATCTTCTTTCTCTTTCTACTAGACGGACACTTTTAGAGCCGCCTTCCCCACTCTATTCTTATACCTCTATGGTATCAGCATTGAATAGGGTATTCGACAAGATTTAGAAAACGATCTCACGTAATGACTAATTTATAAACATACTTTTTACGGACTCCGTAAAAAGTGGACATTCATCATTCTGTTGTGTATTTCAGTAAAAATAACCAAATCAAAATCTCCATTTTCATGTTGCCGCGAAAATGTTTCTCTGGACAATATGGCGTCTTACTAGTCACACGACTGTTACGTCACACGACTGTTATTAAAACGTCAAACGATACAATGAAATGACACTTTAATCGGAAGTTTACTTGCGTGTGACGTCATTTTAGGCTCCAATACAATAGATAAGAAAACTATTATCTTTTTCGTTAGTTTTTAGTAAAATTATGAATATTCTTTATGTAAAAATAGTATGCCAATATTCATTCTGAACACAGATGCTAACAATTGGCACTTTATTTTTAACACTGTCAAATACCCTATGGGTAGAGTGGGTTTTTTAGTAAAAAATATCTTTATCTTATAAATCTACCAGTTTAATGCTAACATTGATAATATATTAAAAATACTTTAATTCCATATTCCACTGTTTCTCTCTAGCTTCAAGACGAATTCGTCCAATCTCTCCCGATGCCTCCACACATGGTATCATTGGCAGTTTGTCGATTACAACGTCGAGCAGCGCCTGCGCTTCCTACTGAAGCGACATTAACGCCATCTATTGAACCCATAACTACACTAGAGCCAGAAGAAATTGACGAGGATGTCTTACCCCCGCCAGAGATCAGTCTATACAGCGATCAACAAGCTATTCTAGACGAATCTGGGTGAGTTATTTTGTTTATATTTATACAAGGCACAGCAAATATATCTAATAATGTGACTCCAACTCAAGAGTTTGGAAGCTCTTCCGTGCTTCGGAAGCACACAGTCGTTAGCACCCACTAATCCGCACTGGGCCTGCGTGGTGGGTCATGGCCCAAACCCCCTATTCCATCCATAGGGGACATTAATATGCTGATGATGACAGAGAAACCAGCGACAGTACCATTTAACAAATTTTGACAACTTGCGTATAAATTGTTTGTTGAATGATAGGTATGCCTTTGTAAGCATATACAGCATTCAAAAATATAAGGGTACTACAAAAAGTAAACACAGATTTCCTTAATAATGAAAAAAATACAAATTGACCCTTAACCTGATATTAAATCTACATTACATACAGCCAAAAATAAATTGGAAACTATATTTAAACGATAATGTTTTAAGGAGATGGTTCAAACGTTCTTTACAAACTTATTAATGACCTTGTAGATTCGCCGTTCCTTTTGCAGAGAATTGGTTTCCGTTGTCCAAATAGAACTAGGTCTGACAACACGTTTGTAATACAATTCAGCAGGACCAAGTTTGCTGCAAATAGTTTCATTTCTAGAGCATGTCACAGCTATAATAAATACTTCAGGGGATTGGATATATTTTGCCTTTCTTACAACCAATTTAGAAATGAATGCTATAAGGTCGTTTTACCCTAACACTAAGTAATTATTTTCTTTTATTCACACAATTCTAAATATTGTACGTAATCTTAAGTAAATTATGTAAGTTTATGAATGTTTCAGTCTGTGGAAACTTAACTGGTTTATGAAATAGTGTTCCGTTTAATGACTTACTGCGACCGCCGTAGATTATAGTGGACTTGTTGTATACCAATAGGGCTAGTAGGTGAGACAGAGATAGGTTTTATCCGAGGTACACACACACAATCATGTTCCCAGTAAGAAAAGTGCGCTTACCTTTGCTGTGATAGAGGGGCTTGAGCTGGCGAAACCGTGCAAATAGCCGCTTGTGTTTGGAGGCCCCGTGGTCCTCGCTGTATCACCGTTACACCAGGAAGCCGGTCCGTCCGTCCGCTTAAAGCAACCGTGCCGAAGTGCTCGTTCCGAAACCGTAGAGCGCCCCCGATGCCGATGACCGTTACATCCGGGAAAAACCCAGTATATCCCTTGTTAGGGGCTGGTTCGCTGATTGGCCGGCGCGCAGGCACGCCGCTTTGTCTTACGCACCAAAGATGCGCGCCACAGTCAAGGCGCGCAAATTCATACCGGGAAGCGTCATGATGTGCGTGTACATACCCTCCCCCCCGAAATGATATGGCATAACATTAACCTACAAGGGCAGTCGACAGAGCTTGGACACAGGTCGAAGAAACGTACTACTGCGTGTCCTAACTTCAGCAACACGGTTAACCGAATCCGAACCAGGTAAAAGTCTAACAATCCGACCGCGTTTCCACTGCAAGGATGGGTAATTGTCCTCTTTTATTAAAAATAAGTCATCAATCTTAAGGGAATCCGTATGAGAGGTCCACTTTTTTCGTTGTTGTAGCGTATGTAAATATTCATCGCGCCATCTTGACCAGAAGTGTTGCGTTAGCTTTTGGAGTTGTTGGAATCGAGATAACCGATTTAAATTAACGTCCTCAAAAGGATATTCCGGAACAGCTACTAAAGGCTGGCCAATAATAAAATGACCCGGGGTTAATACTTCTAAGTCATTAGGATCCGAACTCATAGGGCAAAGTGGTCGGGAATTCATGACCGCTTCGATTTTAATGAAAAAAGTAGTTAGCTCCTCAAAGGTGAGCCGTCTATCACCGAGTACTCTATACATGTGTGTCTTAGCTGATTTCACGGCTGCCTCAAATAATCCGCCCATATTAGGACTGCTTGGGGGGTTAAATAACCATGTTATATCGCGTTTTATTAGTTCCCGTTCAAACTCCGAGTTATGGTTTCTTAAATAAACATATAAATCCTTCAGATATTTATCCGTACCTACGTAATTAGTTCCGCAATCTGACCGTATTAGTGAGGGTAACCCTCGTCGAGAGACAAATCTAGAAAAGGCAGCGACAAACGCCTCAACCGATAATTCCGAAACGATTTCTAAATGTACCGCTTTTGTACTTAAACATACGAAAATACACAAATAACATTTTAAAATTTTAGCATTTCTTAGTAAACTACTTTTTATAAAGAAAGGTCCCGCAAAATCCGTACCTACACCCTCAAAGGCTCGCGTGCATCGAACGCGGTCTGGCGGTAAATCTGCCATGAAGGGTTGTTGAAGCCGAGGCTTGGCCCTAAAACATTGTACGCATTGAAAGGTGACAGTGCGTGTTAACCGACGAACGGATAGTATCCAATAATTTCTGGAAAGTATTGCTTGTAAAGCATTGGCACCTACATGACAATGTAATTTATGATGATGCTCGACAAGAAGCCTTGTAAACTCTCCCTTTCCCGGAAGTAAGATAGGATGTCGCGCCGAATAAGGTAGTTCCGAATGCCGAATTCGTCCGCCTACCCTGATCACACCATTCCTATCCACAAACAAATTAAGTTTTCGCGCCGAATCACGAATCGCCTTGCCTAATACCTTATATATTCACCAAAATATGAACCTTGAACCGACCGGATTACATAAGTTAACGCCATGCGACGTTCCAAAACCGAAATATTTTTACCGAAGGAATAAGAGACCGAAACATTTTTGCCAAAAGATGTTTTTCGCCGACAATTATTTATAAACCTAATTACAAAACCGATAATATTGACAACCGTATCAAAGGAACCAAACCGACCAAACAGGTCCGAAATAACATCCGAAGCCGAAACTGTAACCGCCACACACCGTAACCGTAAGCCAGGTAAATCTGAGGGAGCCTCCACATGCTCGTCGGGCCAGGACTGACGTGATCGACGGAGCCACTGGGGTTCCCACCATAATGGATTCTGTAAGAGCTGGGCAGCTGAACAACCCCGAGACGCAACATCCGCACAATTGAGAACACCGGGTACATGTCTCCATTGAATAGGTAGGTTCGCATTATTAATTTGCGACACTCGATTACCTTGAAAAACTTCTAATTTGTGAGGTGGAGTACCTAACCATGCTAGTACAATAGTGCTATCGCACCAACCAATGATATCCGATATAATAACCGAGAGATTACACAAAGCCGAAAAAACATGTTTTAACAGATTTACTAAAAGTACTGCTCCACTGAGCTCCAACTGAGGTATAGTCATTTTCGTTTTTAATGGAGCCACCCGAGACTTAGCCATTATTAGCCGGACCGAAGCGTCGCTATTTCCATTTTCTGTACGCAAGTAGACAGCGGCAGCGTAGCCCGAAGAAGAACCGTCACAGAATCCATGAAGGGAAAACAACTTATCATTGTGGGACTTTAAACACCGAGGAATGGAAATATTTTGAATAAATGGTAAGTCCGAAACAAACTCATTCCACTTTAGGACTAATTGTTCAGGAGCTGGCGTATCCCAATCCACACGCCGTGCCCCATCATTTAACAACTCTTGCAGCAATAGCTTTGCACGAAAAACAATAGGACATATCCAACCTAAAGGATCAAACAGTTTTGCTAATGAGGAAAGTATGCTACGCCGTGTGACCGTCTCAGTTCCCGAAGGTAAGTTCCTGATTTTATAAGTAAAAGCATCTGTCGAAGGGTTCCATTCAATGCCTAACACTTTAACAAAACCTCTGCTGTCACTATCCTCAAAACAACGAGGCATCTCACAATGATCATCCGGAATGCCATTAAGGAGTAAAGGTTCATCGATGCCCATTTTCGCAACTCATAACCGGCCGTACTCATGAGTCGTACTAGCTCGTCCCGAAGCTCACGAGCGTCTGCAAGTGTGTCAGCACCTCCATTAAGGTCATCCACGTATGCATTGTTAAGTAGCAACTTAGCTGCTCTGGGAAAGCGTTCCGTTTCATCCGTAGCTAACTGATGCAAACAACGTATTGCAATAAATGGACTAGACTTCAACCCGTAAGTGTTAGTGGTAAGTTCATAAATCCGCAACGGCTCCGATGGATTTTCACGCCACAGGATCAGCTGATATCTGCGATCATCCGCATGAATCCACGTCATCCTAAACATCATTTTCACATCGGTGGTAAAAACAAAGAGAGGTACTCGAAAATTTAAAATAACCAAAGTTATATCATTTTGCAACTTTTCACCGGAATACAAACAATCATTAAGACTAACACCCGTTGTCGTTTTACTACTACCATTAAAAACAACGCGAATTTTTTTGGTGTCGCCCGAAGTTTTAAATACGCCATGATGAGGCAAAAAGTAGTGTTCGTTACCTGAATTAATATCAAAGTTCGAAAGTTGCATATGACCAAGTCGTAAATATTCGTTAATGAATTGAATGTATTTTTGTTTAAAGGAGGGTTGAGCTTTCATTCTTCGCTCTAAAGATAAAAATTGCCGCACCGCAAGCGCTCGAGAGTCACCTAAATCGGCATGATCTGGAATCAATGGTAACCGCACCGTGTATTTGCCATCCGAACAACGTTGAACTGTGTTGACAAACAGCTCTTCACATTTAATATCAACCGGGTCCTTAATTTTAAGTTTGGGTGGTTCTTCCGATTTCCAAAAACGCTCAACCGCTTCCACTAAAGACACACCCGCAAAAGGGTCCGTATTATTTTTTTTTATATTCCCACACATGGGCCCGAAAATCGCAAAATCAAAAATGGTATCAATTGCATAAGGTCCACCCGGCCACAAGGTCACCTTCCTGCCTTCAATAATTTCACCGAGAACATCACAACCAAAAATAATATCTACTTGCGAACAATCACCAAAGTCGAAATTAGGGGAAACGTAAGTTGTCGGAGTCTTTAACACAACTGCATTCACTGATAACAATACCGTACCGTTATTATTCTCCCGTCCCGAACAAAAATGCAGCTGGACAATATAATTGCTACTTTGACCCAAGTTACCACCGACTCCCGTTAAGGCAGTAACCGAATAATATTTCTTTAAACCTAACCTATTGACTAAATCACTACGAACTACCGATACCTGTGAACCAAAATCTAACAATGCCCTAACCTTAAATATATCACCGTTAACAGCAACAACTTTAACCGAAACCGTGGGTAAAACGACATTAATAATTAATTTCGGAACCGGAGGGCCGACCGTTGTATTCTGATTCACCTCCGAGTCCGAAGTTAATTGCTATTGAGCAGTATTATTGTTGTTGCTGATACTGGAAGGATGAATGAAATCCGCGGCGTCCGTATCCACCATAGCTGGCATAGACCGAACAGATGGGAAACCTGAGTTGGCCGACGCCGGCCCATAATTAAAGGCGTGCACCGTCCGTTCATTTTGAGTACGGTCATTAAAACTATGTTGTGTTGGTGGTGGGCAACAAATCAAACTATGGTGGCCCACATTTCCACATTGCTCGCATGGGACATTTTTATTGCACCGATTTGCCAAATGACTGCCGAAGCATCGGAAACAAAGATTGTATTCGCGTATCCACCTTCGCCGTTCATTGCAATCTCCTTTCTTAAACTTATAGCAGTTATCAATTACATGCCCCGTAGCTGAACAAAAGACACAGGACAACCCACTGTGCGAGCCGCTTTCATTGCGACGCGTAGGCATAACATGTACCGCCGCCATTCCGGGCCGTGGAGGGAACACGTGGTGATTTCTCCGAACCGTATTTTGGCGGGCTGCCTGTGTAAACTGCCCGCTATTTCCTATATAGTGGCGTGGCATTTTCGAAAGATCTACATTAGTATAGGGTTTATGAGGGGGATTATTATATTCCGTATTTGCCGTATCTATCATGCTACATTCATTTTGTAAAAAGGATATTAACTCATCAAATGTAGGAAAATCAGATTTTGTACCGCCGTATTTCTGCTCGAATCGTGTTTTTATTTCCGTGGGTAACTTGGTGTGATGTGAACGAGTATGTAACTCCACTCGTCTACTGGCAAACCTAGACCTTTTAACGCCCGTGTGCATTCCAAAAGTGGGTTCAAAATGCATGACCGCATCATAGCCAAATTTTTCAAGGGTTGGACGTTCAATATCCGAGAAATATACGTCTCCGCGAGTAACCTCTTATTTTCGTATCGATTCAGTAGGATTTGTAAGGCTTTGTCCAATGAAGTTTCAACCATCGGTAAATGTTGAATTAGCGTCTTTGGTTCGTTTTGTACGTGGGTAAATAAATAGTGAAATTTTTCCGTATTCGTAATATCGGTTCGTGTCAATACAAGAGAACTAAATAGACTATGAAAACTGGACCATGTGAATAAGTCCCCATCAAAGAATGGTAAGGCTATCTGAGGCAACCGCGCAGCCGGCGTACCGCTGGATCTACTGTTGTCGCTTCCGTCTTTGGCCTGTGAGTCCGAATACTCCACCTCCGCAACCAGTGTATCGTATTGCAGCGTGGCAGTAGCGTATTTATTGTCATATACTTTTATTTGGTCTGGGTCGGACTCAACCTCTAGTAGGTGTTCGTATGCACTAGTTAAAGTTTGATAGTGCGTTTCTAATTTACGCAACCTAGCCGAAAAAACAGGGGTATGGCCTGATGATTCTAAGTAATCTACTGAATTCTGAAACCAGTCGCATTGTAGTTTAAACTTGGCTTCGCTAGCCTTCGCCATTTTGATTTTGAAAAACTACCGTTAGTTACTATCTACGCAGTCACAAATTTCCCACCAAAATACTGTTTGCCGTACCGAATTTTTATACTATTCTACTTATTTAAACCGAAACACTGTTTACCGTACCGAATTTTTATACTATTCTACTTATTTAAACCGAAACACTGTTTACCGTACGACTATTCTACTTATTTAAACCGAGTTACCGAACCGAAATTAAACACAATAACTTTAGAGAATACCTACTACGAATCTCACCATCCGCGCGTGGAAGGATCAAATAGTAATAAGTGTTACTTAATTGATTTGTGTAAAACTGTATGTTTCCCAAATGAAAATAAAAAATAAATAAATAATAAAAGTGGTAGTCGGTTTCGGTTACATTACATTAGTAATATGTCCCTGGATAGGTATATTCAAATTTCCCAGTGATTTATCATTGTGAATTTGCGGGTATACCTATTCCCAAATATTCTAGACTGATCAGAAAATATTCTCGAAAACATTGTCAAAATCCCGGGAACGGCTCACCACTAGTAGAGAACTATTCATGAAACAGGCAAAAAAAAAATACGGAGTACCATCTTATAGAATGAGGGCTATCGCGTCTGAAACCGCCGCTAGAGGCGCTTGTGTTGCGTGAGGTCTCCGAAATGTCAAATGTTATAGCTTGCGGGTTGAGTACGCGGTTTTTTCTAATTAAAATATTAGTTGTGAATATTTGGTAATAAATCAGACTTATTATGGCAAATATGAGTTACGTGTCAATGATTGTCAGTTATTTAAAAGCGGAGCTAAGAAAACATATTGTACTTCTTTTTTCCGAACAAAACGGGACTGCGCAACACTGTGGCATGGGCGATTATGTTTAAGATACTATTCTTTTGTATTAAAATGTAAACTTTGATATCACGAGCGTGTTTACTAACTTTAAAAGTTACACTTCAGGACCTCACTCAACAGTGGCGCCATCTGGTGAGACAAAAAACGATAGCCCTCATTGGAGCCACATTATGAAAGTGAAAAATATATACCATTTATGCAACCTCTCACAACCGAGACTCCATTTAAACTTTTGGTGTAAAATATAAAACTATGTAACTTATATGCTTAAAGGGAAATTGAACCCAAAAAAATATTAATTAATCAATTAATATGTCGATGGCGCAAGTGGTTAGCGCGTTCGGCTGCGATCGTTGAAATTAAGCAACTTTCGCAATGGTCGGTCATTGGATGGGTGACCAAAAATTTACTATCTTTCACTCCTCCGTGCTTCGGAAGACACGATAAGCCGTTGGTCCCGGCTTCATCTGCAGTCGTCAGCACCCACAAATCCGAACTGGGCCCGCGTGGTGGGTCATGACCCAATCTCCCTTTTCCACCCATAGGGAAGGCCTGTGCCCCAGCAGTAGGACATTAAAAGGCTGATGATGACAGAGAAACCAGCGACAGTATCATTTAACAAATTTTGACAACTTGCGTATAAATTGTTTGTTGAATGATGGGTATGCCTTTGTAAGCATATACAGCATTCAAAAATATAAGGGTACTCCACAAAGTAAACACAGGTTTCCTTAGTAATGAAAAAAATACAAATTGACCCTTAACCTGATATTAAATCTACATTACATACAGCCAAAAATAAATTGGAAACTATATTTAAACGATAATGTTTTATGGAGATGGTTCAAACGTTCTTTACAAACTTATTAATGACCTTGTAGATTCGCCGTTCCTTTTGCAGAGAATTGGTTTCCGTTGTCCAAATAGAACTAGGTCTGACAACACGTTTGTAATACAATTCAGCAGGACCTAGTTTGCTGCAAATAGTTTCATTTCTAGAGCATGTCACAGCTATAATAAATATTTCAGGGGATTGGATATATTTTGCCTTTCTTACAACCAATTTAGAAATGAATGCTATAAGGTCGTTTTACCCTAACACTTAGTAATTATTTTCTTTTATTCACACAATTCTAAATATTGTACGTAATCATAAGTAAATTATGTAAGTTTATGAATGTTTCAGTCTTTGGAAACTTAACTGGTTTATGAAATAGTAATAAGTGTTACCTAATTGATTTGTGTAAAACTGTATGTTTCCGAAATGAAAACAAAAAATAAATAAATAAAAGTGGTAGTCGGTTTTGGTTACATTACATTAGTAATATGTCTCTGGATAGGTATATTGTGAATTTGCGGGTATACCTATTCCCAAATATTCTAGACTGATCAGAAAATATTCTCGAAAACATTGTCAAAATCCCGGGAACGGCTCACCACTAGCAGAGGACTATTCATGAAACAGGCGAAAAAAATACGGAGTACCATCTTATAGAATTGGAGCCACATTATGAAAGTGAAAAATATATACCATGTATGCAACCTCTCTCACAACCGAGACTCCATTTAAACTTTTGGTGTAAAATATAAAACTATGTAACTTATATGCTTAAAGGGAAATTGAACCCAAAAAAATATTAATTAATCAATTAATATGTCGATGGCGCAAGTGAGGATGGCTGGTGTGGCAGGTAGAACTGCTGTATCAGCTATCTTCGCGTCTGGACTTCACCGTCACTTAACATCAGGTGGGGTAGAGTCATTTGTCGGACCTTTCTATAAAAAAAAGAAATATTCGGACTCCGAATATGATTGTCTACTTCCTAATATGTAATGCGTGTTATATGGAGTGAATTAAGACTGGCTCGCGTCACCGCGGACCGAGCGTTGACGCTTATATCAAGTCAGCATTTTTAGAATAAAAGTCGCCACAACTCTCTGAACTTTATATATTTTTGTTCGTAGACCTCTCCTGGAGTGGGTGCAGAAAACAATCCAACAATTATCCTACGAGCTGAACACCTCGTATCCTCTTCCAAAGTTCGGTAAGTTTTCTGACACTTAGGATTTTATAAAAAAAATAGGGAATGGAGCAGCGCACGCATCACTCATATACATGTATATGTCGTTTTATAAGACAATATCTTTTAATGGGAATTGTAAACAGTGGCGGCGCTAGACCACATGTGGACGTCGGCGACGTCAAGTTCGAGAGGCCTATTTTACTTCGCAATAAAAAAACCGTTAAATTAAGTGAGCCAATTTATAAAATAACGTATGAGTGAACGAGTTTTATTGTTGATAATCAAATGATGACAAAAAATAATTACAAACAGAAATTTAAACCAAAAATAGTGTTGACAGACAGACGATTCTGAATACCTGTAAAGTACTACTCGCTTCCATCATGCACGTGTTCGAAAATAATAAAAGTCATTATCATCTGCTTAGCTTTTTCCCCGAATTGTTCGGGGTCAGCTACCTAAGCCAGGCCAGGAGAAACGAAAATAAATTGGTAACTTGTAAAAATTTTTTGCGAGGCCCCCTCAGGCGCGAGGCCGTCGGCGGTGGCCGACGTCGCCGACGCCTAGCGCCGCCACTGATTGTAAAAGTAATCAAACAAATGTGTTGCTCTGAAAACAAAGAAACGAGATTTAAAGTCTTTTACTTAATACAACAATTCCTTCCTTTAGAATAATATTTTAAAATAACAAAATAAAAATATCACGGCTCGTTCTGTCAAAGCGACACCATCTATCAAGTGACAGTTTTATTATTATGGTCGCCCGAGAACTATACAAACTACTTAAGAAATAACAAATTAAAGAAGTGACTGTAAAGAGGTTCTTTACATACATATATTGTCTCGTGTGACGCTCGTGACGTACTGCTAGATGTTTAAATTTAAAGAAAATTTTACTAGAAAAATAATTTAATGCTGTTGAACTATTTTCCGTCCTTGTCAATTATTCAAAGTCAATTACAGGCAGTCCTCGACTTACGTCGTTTCGATTTACGTCGTTTCAAGTTACGTCGAACAATGTTTTGACACTATTCCTCAAGCATACGTCAATTGTTTCGAGTTCCGGCATAGGAAAATTCACTTGTCGCGTGGTCAATGTCCGGCGTTCGTGGGGATGTCTCGACTTACGTCGTTTCGCTTTACGTCGCGTATTTCGAGAACCTAACATGCCGTAAGTACGAGGACTATCTGTATAGAGATATGATGAAGTTTAATTACACGACATAACTTCTCATTTAAAGAAGTGATAAAGTGGGTCTCATACAACGATATGAACCCTAAAAATTAAACCCCCTTTAAAATCTTGTTTCATCATCAGGCTATTAATGTCCCCACTGCTGGAGCACAGGCCTTCCCTATGGATGGAATAGGGAGATTGGGCCATTGACCCACCACGCGGGCTCAGTGCGGATTGGCGGGTGCTAACGACTGCAGATGCAGTAGGGACCAACAGCTTAACGTGCCTTCCGAAGCACGGAGGAACTCAAGATAGAAGATTATTGGTCACCCATCTACTGACCGACCACTGCGAAAGTTGCTTAACTTCAACGATCGTAGCTGAACGCGTTAACGACCCGCGCCATCGAGCTCCTCGCTCAAAATCTTGTTTGATGCAAATAAATCCCCTTCTTTCTCACAGATATTGTGGTCGTTGAATCTGGCAACCCGTATTCTGAAGGCTGGGGTCTGATCACCTTATCGCCCGGAACGTTGACGGAAACGAAGACCATAGCGAGGCTGTTGGCACAGCAAGTACGTTTATATTGTTACGTGTCGAGATGGGGTTCAAAATTATGTGCCAGTCCACGCTTGACAGTACTTTATTCACAACACAGTTCACACACAATTTTAATCACAATACACTTACTAAAACGCTGTATTTCACTTAACAAGTCTTTAAACAACCGCACTCGAACAGTTAACTTGCGCTTTGATCGCCTTTGTATACGTTCCGAAATCGCGCTTATATACGCAAATCGACGCATTCTAGAAAAGTCTCGTTAAATTGAGAGTTAGTGTCGCCGCACACGGGCCATACGCCGCAGCCACAAACGCCGCCACGAGAAGCTAGAAGCGGCTACTAAAGTGGCTGAAGCGCGCGACAGCGGCCGACTAAGGTAAGGGAGAGAGGGGTGGGGAATCGCGCGAGTGACGTGTGGCGGCGTTTTGTATCGGCGCATTAAGTGGCCGGTGCGGGCCACAAGAAGCGAGCAACGACCATTTGTAGCGTGTGGCGGCCACCGGCGTACCGTGTGTGGCGAGTCCATATAAAATGTATGAAAAATACAAGAAATATGCCGGTGGCGGCGTTTTGTGGTTGTGGTCGGTGGCCCGTGTGTAGGGCTGCCATCCGTCCGGGTTTCCCCGGATTTGTCCTAGTTTACGGGGCGTCCGGGGAGCGTCCGGGCGGGGTTTTATTTGTAGTCCGGGTTTAAAACTTTACGGCAACGCATGAGTGGCCCTTGGTGCTGCAAGTGTCCATGGGCAGCAGTGACCACTTATTATGAGGTAGACCGCTAGCTCTTTTGCCTAGATCAGTGATTCCCAAAGTGGTTTATATCGACCTCTAGGGGTCTATGACAACCTGCAAGGGGTCTACGTCAGCGAAAAAAATCAATATCAGGTAAGTAGGGGTCTACCCAACACGGAAAAACATGGCAAGGGGTCTACGACACACAAAAGTTTGGGGAACTCTGGCCTAGATCAACATAAAAAAGTTGATTTGTAACACTTTTAACTGTTTTTTATTGGTCTGTGCGGGTTCTGGGTTTCAAAATCCGGGGTTATCACGCGTCTTATCCTAGTTGCCACATTTTAGAGATGGCAGCCCTACCCGTGTGCGACGACACTAAACAGCTGGAGCGATTTTAATAAAATTTGGTATAGAGTTAGCTGACACCCTGGATTAGCACATTTTACTGCGGGAAAATATTCCTCGTAAACGTGCGGGGCATAGCTAGTATTATAATAAGTGTAAAAAAATTGAATATTATTCCAACAGTGGTTTGGAGGCCTCGTGTCTCCCCGCTGGTGGAGCTCCCAATGGTTGATGGAAGCCCTAACCTCAGTACTGGCAGAGAAGGCACCGCCCTTGGGAGACTCCGCCCCGCAGACGGAGGAAGACGCTTTGTTATTGGACCATGTGTTACCAGCACTTAGGTGAGATGACTATTCTAATTTTTGAAGTGAAACTTCTTTATCGGCGTTGGAAAAAAATTTACCGTCACATTTTTTTCGGTTACGCGCCATCTTTTTTTTAAAAGAGCACTATTTACCTCATCCGAACAATTGCTTCTTCTGTCAACTTTTAAAAAAAAAAGTATCGACAGCAAATATTCGTGTTTCACACAAGGTAAGGTAAGGTAAGGTAAGGTAAGGTAAGGTAAGGTAAGGTAAGGTAAGGTAAGGTAAGGTAAGGTAAGGTAAGGTAAGGTAAGGTAAGGTAAGGTAAGGTAAGGTAAGGTAAGATAAGATAAGGTAAGGTAAGGTAAGGTAAGTTAAGTTAAGTTAAGGTAAGGTAAGGTAAGGTAAGGTAAGGTAAGGTAAAGTAAGGTAAGGTAAGGTAAGGTAAGGTGTAGTTATACCCCTTTAGTGGGTGAGTTTTTGAAAAATCTTAGCGCACGCCTATATATATATTTCTGGAAAGTTGCATGTAGATCATTTTTCGAAAAAAATAAGGCCATAAAGAAGTTTCACTTCTTACGTGTGTACACTAGTACACGCACACATTTTTTAATTCTCTTCTATTCAGTTTTGATTCGGTCCGGTTCGGTACGATTATTATTTTTATTATTAGAAACTGGATAATTTTCTAGCTTCCTATTAGATAGAATAGTTTTTCTTTGATTATTGTTATTGTTTATTTGTTTTCTTCTATTCAATGCTATTGAAATAACAATGTATACATTTCAACTGTCCAAGGTATTGTACCATCCGTGGAAGTCTTGCTATCTGTGATTGGGCCTGGTGATCTGTAGCACAGGTTTATATTGCTGAAACCTATTTCAGGCACGAGTTCATCACAAATAGAGGAGCCACAACACTGTAATTGTTATACAAGACTAACTATGAATCTCTGGGGGCCAATCGCCTAACGGAAATGCTTTGGGAAACGCTAACGCTTACGATTTTATATTGTTATTTCTAGCCGCCTGAGGTTTTCGAATACCTCACGCTCATTTTTTTTAATATTGTTATTACCAATGCAAAAGAAAAAGAAAGAGTGCGAGGCATTTGAAAACCTCAGGCGGCTAGAAATAACAAAATAAAATCGTAAGCGTTAGCGTTTCCCAAAGCATTTCCGTTAGGCGATTGGCCCCCTGTTGTGATGGAAAATAAATAAAATAAAGTTTTAAGACTCCACTCGCAAGTTGTCAGAATTTGTTAAATGGTACTGTCGCTGGTGTCTCTATCATTATCATCATTATCTATCTATTAATGTCCCCACTGCTGGGCCGCAGGCCTTCCCTATGAATGGAATAGGCAGGTTGGACCATGGTCCACCACGTGCGCCCATTGCGAATTGTTGGGTGCTAACGACTACAGATGCAGCCGGAACCGACGGCTTAACGTGCCTTCCGAAGCACGGAGGAGCTCGAGATAGTAAATTTTTGGTCACCGCATCCAATGACCGACCACTGGAAAAGTCGCTTAACTTCAGCGATTGTAGCCGAACGCGCACGCTTGACATGGGGAGTAAGCTTGCGAACGCGTTACGCGTTACAAAAAGTGTGATCGGGCGAGGCGAACGGGAGCTGAATGGGGGATATAAGCAAGAGAAAGCAGTGCGCGCGCACATTTTCTCTCTCTCTCTTTTTTATAGCTAGTAAATGAAATATGTATATGTTAATACATGTATATATTGTACACACATATATATCATATATATATACCTACATACAGATGGAGCTAAAGAAGTTTCACTTCAGTCGTGTGGTCATAAGCACACTCTTTTTTTTGTTGACAGACTTGATTCGAGCAACTCAGTGAGGGCTGTAGCTTCGCCGAGATTGGAGAGATCCGACATTGAATCGGCATCTGATGAGCTCTCTCTCCACAAGGTAATCGAATGCTTTAAAATTTTAATACTTAAACTATATCCAACTGTGGCTTTTGACTGTGAGATAAAATAGGGTATTTGGCAAGTTTTAGAAAACGATCTGACCTTATTTACTAACGTTTATGGTGTCCATAAAAAGGATATTCATTATTCTGTTTTGTATTATAGTAAAAAAAATGAATATTTTATTTAGTTTTTTTACTACTTATTTCTTTTTATTAAAAGTTGTCGCGAAAACTTTTCTCTGGCCAAATTTGGCTTCACACTAGTGTGTGACGTCACACAACGGTCATTACAAACAAACAAACAAACAAAATAATTTTATTTGACACAGTAGGCTTAAAATAGGTAGGTACATTTTCAATTTACATGCAATTATTTAAATGAATATCTATAAGTAACAAAAGAAAATAAAATGTATTACAAAAAACAAACAAAAAAGAGGTAAATAATGCAAACTTGAAAGTGCCTGCCTGCGCCAAAAAGGGTCAAAGTTCAGCATTGTGTCAGCTCAATGAGCTGACGCTGGTTTTCAACTAGACCCTGGACTATAAACTAAACCCCAGCCCCCAATGTATGTCCAAAACACGTTTCCTCCTTACAAATTAAATAAAAATAAAATACGTGCGATTTATATAGAAGAAAAATTAAAAGTATACATACATACTAATAAATTTACCGAACTTTTACTGATACAAGTATTTATGATATATAACATACATACTAATAAATTTACCCAACTTTTACGGATACAAGTGTTTATGTAAACACATACATATATACATATACAAACACAAAAATACCAATGAAGAAAGGCTAAATATACGAGTCGTTGTGCTGAAAGTTTTCTAATTCCTGTTGAGCATCCAGTAAATATTTCTTTAGGTTTTTTTTGAAAGAATAAATGGATTTAGAATTTCTTAATGGTGGGGGCAGATTATTCCATATTTTAGAAGCGGCGTAGCGGAAACTACCTCTGAAACTAGCCAATCTGTGCGACTGTGTAATTAGCTGCAGGGAACACTGTCTTCTGTCTCTCTCTCTGCTGCCTGTCAACCAGGTCAGTCGGTTATAAAGATACAGCGGTGCTCCGCTTCGTATAACTCCAAACAGAAGACAGGCTAAATGTAATTTACGTCTAGACTTCATTTTCAGAATGCTGTGTTTATTTAGAAAAGGTGTAACATGACTTCTGTACGGAATAGAGAAACAAAAGCGAGCGCAAGCATTTTGAACCCTCTGTATTAGACGCTCCGTACGTGTCAATAAGCGTGGACCAAAAACTGTATCCGCATAATTGAGCCTGGACAAAATTAACGACTCAACTAAGCGGACGCGCAGTTCCTCAGATAGATAGGGTCTGATCTTATAAAGAACCTTAAGCCGATAGAAGCAATTCCGTACAGAATCAGCCATGTGCTTTTCAAATCTTAGATTGCTATCGATGTACAGACCGAGGCTGCGAACTTCATCCACTCTTTCAATTGATTCGCCATTTATAGAAATATCTAGATGACAAGGCAGCATGTCTTTCATTTTTCTGGTACCAAAGACCATGTATTTTGTTTTGGATGGGTTCAGAACCAAGCAATTGTTATTTGACCAATCGCATATAGAACGCAGTTCATCGTTTATCGTAACAATAGCCGTTTCGTAGTCACAAGGTCTAAAAGACAAATAAAGTTGAACATCATCCGCGTAGATGTGATATCGACATTTTCGGAAACAGTTTATTATATCAGCACAGTACAATATAAAAAGGATAGGACCTGGAATGGAACCTTGCGGAACACCTCTAGTTACCGAGCTGAGGGATGACTTTATAGATTTACCATCGCTTTGGTTGAGCTTGACGAACTGTTTCCTATTGGACATATAGCTTCGAAACCAATTGATTGTATTTTCGTCAAATCCATAAAACTTCATCTTAGCCAACAGCAGATCGGTGTTTATAGTATCAAAAGCACGAGAGAAATCTAACAATACCAAAACTGTACACATACCCTTATCCTGATCAGCCAAGACATTATCTGTAACGTCAATCAAAGCTGTAGCAGTGCTATGACCCTTCCTAAAACCAGACTGAAATTGAGGCAGAATTTTGTTCGCTTCAAGGAAATCAGTCAACTGTGAGCAGACAGCTCTCTCCAATATCTTAGAAAGACAAGACAGGATACTGATCGGGCGGAGGTCTTTGTATGCAGTCGGGTTAGGCCGTTTAGGAATTGGTAAGATAGCGGCAACTTTCCAAAGATCTGGGAAGGTGGACGTAAAAATAGACTCGTTTACAACAGCAGTGATGTGTTGCAATGTGCAAGGTAAAGTAAGGAGTATCATTCTTAAAGAAATTTCATCATAACCTTCAGCATTAGACTTTAAGTTATGTATGAATCGTAAAACTTCCTTTTCGGTAACGGGCGCGAGTGTGAAGACGGCACTGCCATAAAAATTATTGTCAAAGAACGTTTTATATTCAACATTTGCTGTGAGATTACCAGGTATGTCTAAAAAATGGCTGTTGATTAAGTTTGGATCATTAAAGTGAGGTGGTAATTCATGCCCTTGGCTAGAATGAAGAATGGTTTTTTTTAGATTTTTCCACAATAATTTCGGATTTTGTATTTTATTATTTATATTGAATCGAAAATAGGCAATTTTTTCAAAATACAAAGATTTGTTAACTAGTGATTTTAATTCTAAATAATATTGCTTTTTTGTGAGTACTTTTGTCTTTCTGTAATTAGCCAAGGCCTCATCCCGCAGTTTCATCATCAACTTGATGGAGTCCGTAATCCAGGGATAAGATTGTTCTCTTATAACACGTGATCTAATTGGGGCATGAACATCAAACACCACTAAAATATTTTGGTTTAATTTTTCCACTGACTTATTTACTGACGCCGCATTAGATCCTATGTCCCACTGCATGTTAGACAAGTCACGGATCAAATCATCTGCATTAACAGTCTTAAGTGATCTCGATCGAAGGATGAAAGGTTTAGATTTTTCCTTCCTAATATCGAATTCACAAACAATTAACGAGTGGCCGCACAAGTTGTCTGTTGGCTCAACTGAGATCGATTTAGCTCCAACGTCAGAATACACAAGATCGATTAAGGACTCGCTATTTTCTGTAAAGTGAGTAGGTGACGTGATTAACTGATTCAGGCTGAGACAGGTGAGACTTTCAGTTAATTTCTTTGTTTTCACATCTGAAGAGTTTAACATGTTTACGTTAAGTCGCCTAATAAAATATAATTATCTACATTTCCCAGTGCAGTAATAGTGTCGGTAATAGCATCGAGAAACAAGTCCAAGTTTAGCCACGGTGGACGATACGCGGTACCTATTGCAACTCTCTTTCCATTAACAGATAATAATAACCACATTTGTTCGACTGCCTCGAATGTAGGGTTGCCTGTGCGCGCACACACTCGCACACTCAGGCCTCTCCTTATATAGAAGCCAACTCCCCCACCACGCCCCAAGCGGACGGTAGCTGGCCGCGGCGTGTGCCGCAAACTGTACCCGGGCAAGGATGGCGCTCGACCCTCTTCACCGGGTCTCAACCAGGTCTCATTTATCGCTAGAATATCGAAGTGGTGCTTGTCAAACTTAGAGATGAATTCGTCATGATTTGTACCCAAAGACCCCACATTATGAAAACCTAACAATAAATGACTCCCATTAATCATTGTATACAAGTTTACAAAAATTATGAGTTAACAAAGATACCACAAAAATAAGATTCATAATTTTAACATAAACATAAAACATAAAAAAACATTTAATATGGAATATATTTTTATCAGCTAGTGTTTGCAGCCAACTGTAATAATAATAATAAATTTTGTAGATTTTATAATTTTCTAGTCGTATAAACATAAAAAATGCATGTATTGTATATATTAGGGGCACAGAATCACATAAATTAATCATAGAACACAACGCATAAAAACCCAGAATAACAATAACTGAAGGAATAAGAGCCTGACAGACACTTTCTGAACCAATCAAGTCGTATTTATAATATTTAAAAAGTATGTATATCCTAAACTACATAGTACGTAATATTAAGTATAAGAAAAAATAAACAGTAAACAAGACCAACAAATCCTAAGAAAAAATCTTTGCAATGTCTTGTTCGGTACGAATTTGCATTACTTGCTGGCCATCATCTCTGCGAGCAAGAACTTTCCCGTGCCTAGTCCAAACATACTTCCATTTTTTTGAATTACCAGCTTGCCGTGCAATATGAAAAATATAGCGGTTAAATCTTGTAAGCCTCTCATTAATGTAAATTTTTCGCGGTGAACCAGATATCTCGAAGTCATTTGACGTAAGGTTGCGGCGAGTGCGAGCAGCAGCCAGCCAGCGGTCACGAATAGCACGGCGCGCAAAACGGATTGCAATCACTCGAGGCTGCTGCCCAGAGAGGTCGCCACCGTCGCCCACCGTTACTCTATTACGCCGCACCAGCCCAACCCGCTCCGCTCGAACTATCTCTCTTTCGTCAAACTCAACACCCAATTTGATCGACATCACACGAATAATGTTATTAATATTCTCTCCACTCTGTTCAGGTAACCCAGATACGTCTATATCATTAGACAAACACTCCTGATCACGCTCGTTTAGTTGACTTTTGAGCTCCGCGATAGTTTCTTCCAAGCTATTTGTAGCTGTGGGGTTGTTAATAGTATCTATCTTGGTTTCAAATTCCGTCATTCTATTTTCCATAAACGTCAACCTTTCATCAAATTTTTTTAGGGAATCCCTTACTTCCAGACGCCATTCCCGTATTTCCGACCTCATAGCGTTCATTTCGTCTCGAAACGAACGGATTTCCAGGGCTAGTTCGACCTTAAACTCCTCAGTCGTATTTAGAGCAGTGTTATCCAGATTCGCCGGGCTGGTCTGAGTTTTATAAGATGCAGTTATCCCTCTTATAGGGGTTGAAGAATTATCTTCCCTAGGGATTTTTATTTTGCAACCTGGGCA